TCGTTGAAAAATAAATGTATATCTGTACCTCGGGGTTGCGTATATTTTGGTCAGAAGTATTACAAATTCCAATGCTGGGAAACTTCTATAAATAGCTCCGTGGAGTGTAAGCTACAATTTCTTGTTTTGTCAGTTATTTAGATGCTAACTAGTTTGCCTAAACAATACACTACATACTGGAAAAACTAAAAGAACAAAATATTTTCATGAAAATGATCGTATCGAGATAAAAAAAATGTTTTGAAGCTTTAAGTCTCTAGTTTCAAGATCTTTAGACAACAAATTTTTTAAGCTAGGGTTATCGAACAATCAAAAGAAATACCTCAAGAAAGTAATTTTCCTACATTTTTAGGACTATCCATGTACGAATTTTTTTCAAACTCATTCAATACAGAGGTCTGTTAACTTATTTATTCAGCTTCAATTTGACTTTTGAAAGGTTTCCATGCGACTAAAAAATAACACTGTTGCCTTTAATCATCGATATATCTGCAAGAAATTATTGCACAGTGAATCCAAGGCCTATTTTGAAAACTTGAATAAATTCTTTACAAAGGCACTGTCATGGTTTTTGAAGAAAACATTTTACCTTCATCATTGACATTAATTTGAGAAAGATGCAAAAAATGACTACAGATTTTTAGAAAATCTACCGCTAATTTACAAATATTTATGAAAAGAATAATACATCTTTACAGCTCAATGTACTCATAATAAAACGGCCCCAAAAAAAATGGATTTTTTTTTCTTGAGGTATTTCTTTTGATTGCTCGATAACCGTAGCTCAAAAAAATGTTTTGTTTACAGATCTTGAAACTAGGGACTTAAAGCTTCAAAATGATTTATTTTTTTATCTCGATACAACATATTTCACTGAGATACAGCCTTCCAAAATCACTAAAAAATTCATGAAAAATTTTTCTATTCCTTCAATTTTTCCAGTAGTGTATTATTTTTGAATACTGGATAAAGACATAGGAAATATGTAGTACATACAAAAAGCAGAATTATTTCATCTCCTTAAACAATTCGAAAATATCAAATAGTAACTTTAGTCCATTTATAGTTCTTTCAATAGTAAACAAAAAACTTCATTGCAGATTAAGCTGTCTCTGATGCTCTGTTGTTCCATTTAAATATATTTTTTAATAGTTACAAAATATAGTTAACTTCTTTAATGTACTCATAAATCTTCTGAATTTCCACTTATTCCTCCAGAGAAAGTCATTTTTTTTCGTTGAGTTTTAAGATGTTTCAATGAATTTTCGTGTGGTATTTTTTTGCACAGCTGAAGATGAATATAGTACATGTCTGCAAGATTAATATAAACTCAATTATTGTCACCAAACAGCACTAAAATAAGGTTTTATTATGCCAGTTAAGTATAACTGGAGTAACCACATCTAAACCGGAAATATTCTGGGAATCTCGGGCAACTGACTATAATACTTATATTAGTTCAAATACCAGTAACTTCAAATCTTGGTAAAAAAATAATCGTACAGGAAAGAAATTGTGTATTGAGGATTTACAAAGTAGGGGAAATTATCGTTCACCTTTTTTAGTATTAGAATATGAATTTTTACAATAAAAACAAACGGAATTTTCTCCATCATCTGAGGTGTGGATGTATTTTTGAAAAATATCTTGAGTTACTTTTGTAGCACAACGTATCGAAAAACTATCTGTTTTCATTACCAAACTTGAACTGATTTTTGTCAAAAGTCAGAAAATACCACCAATAAATAATTACAGATAATTACTGTCTCAATCTTTTCTTCATTACTTTTTTCAATGTCTCTTCCTTTTTCAAGTAGACATTGGAAACTTTGTGGCGACGATCAAAAACAGTAGTAATCTATATTATGCAATACACGTTGTAGTAGTAAGAATAGGCTAAATCTATGGTCAAGCCGTGTGCCGGCTACTGACAATGCTACTGACTGCCATAAGAACAGGTGCACATACACTCGACCAAGCAAAGCATCAAATTCACTCATACACGCGCAAACGATAATGAAATGCAAGACCATCAGCAAAAAAAACCGGATTGTTCACCAGCACGCCAGGACAACAGGGCAGGCATTAGGGTGCCGCTAGATACTTATCGAATAAATTGATCGATGAGAAACTGCAGATCAGAGGCAGACATGTACATATTATTGTACAATGACGCGATTAGTGGGATTATTAAAATGTAAAAGTAGTAGAAGCTTGGTCGTCATTAGTAAAAATGGCATATATTAAAACCTTCAACTATTTTAGACGAACGCCTGTGACCTCGGTAAATATTGAACGGTCATTTTCGTTTTTGAAATTGGTATTTACCGATCGCTGGAGACAATTAACCGTGGAACACTTAGGATAACTGTTAATTATTTTCTGCAGTAGCTTTCCTTATAAGAAATTATTATTTTGTTAATTTTTGCTGGTACCTATTATTACGTACTATACGTATATATTTTATGGTAAATTCCATGTGAAGCGTTTAGTGTAGAAAACTAGATATTACCCCTTTTTGTTTCATATTGTTATGCAAATACTTATGTTACATTATATAATGTAAAGAATGAAAAAGACGGCAACAATTGTGTCACTTTTTGTTTGAATAAAATTATAATAAAAGAGAACCCGACCTACAGCCAACCCTGTACCACATTGAAACCGCCCTAACATTTCCGATTTGTATTTATAAGATAAACTGGTTAAAACTAAGGCTTCATTACTTACAACATTATTCTTCCGTTCAATTGTTTTAGGACAAATAGCGGCTGGAGGCATATTTCTGTTTTTTATATTTAATAAGTGCTTCATCGTAAGCACTGCTTTAGTAACTTTTGAAATGAAATAAAATAACCAAAGCTTTTAGACCTAAATTACTATCAAAATATAACAGTTTTATTATACAGGGTGTTTTTGAATGGAGTAGCATAAATGATACCAGTGAATCTACATTTCAAAAGAACATGATCTGCAAAAAATCGCCTTAGTAAAATGTTCACCCCTGAAGAGATATGGGCCATCAAAGTTTCCAAAAAAATTATGAAAATTGGCTGTAATTTGAAAANAAACTTGAACTGATTTTTTGTCAAAAGTCACAGAAAATACCACCAATAAATAATTACAGATAATTACTGTCTCAATCTTTTCTTCATTACTTTTTTCAATGTCTCTTCCTTTTTCAAGTAGACATTGGAAACTTTGTGGCGACAATCAAAAACAGTAGTAATCTGTATTACGCAATACGCGTTGTAGTAGTAAAAATAGGCTAAATCTATGGTCAAGCCGTGTGCCGCTCTATACTCACGTTACACAATGCTACTGACTGCCATAAAAACACGTGCACATACCCTCGATCAAGCAAAGCATCAAATTCACTCCTACACGCGCAAACGATAATGAAATGCACGACCAACGTCCCTCAGCAAAGTAAGAAGTGGAAAAATGAATGTTGTCCATAATTTCTAAAGGGTTACTTTGATTAACTTGAAATTTGGGGGATCAAAGCAACTCATTCAAATGTATCGTTGTACATTTAAAATTGACTCAAATATTTTTTATTATACAAGGACGGGCGAAGTGTGTTCTAAAACTTACGCAACTTTGACGGAGCTGTCAAATTTGACATTTCGCCCTCGCAGGCAGATAGGTTACCTTTCTACAAAAAAGGTATACTTCATGACTTATGAAAAAATGAAAGGTTGTCAAGATAATTAAATTTTTGTATTTTGGGAATAGCCACAACCGGGGACACAACGCAACAGAAAAAAGTTAATACTGAAACATATGGATTAAAAGAGGTTACTTCAGTAAATGCTCGATAATTATGTCCTTCATCTAGTTTAATGCCCTTCCTTATTATTTTAAGATTATTTTGTTACACTCTAAATAGCATTTGTGGATTATGTTTAATTTCATTACAATGATGTTCTATTCTTGCCATCAACTCTTCTCTTGTATAAACCGGAGTTGAATACACCATTTCTTTTAGGTAACCCTACAAGAAGAAGTCAACGGGGTTAAGATCTGGTGACCTAGGTGCCCATAGTCATGAAAAGTCATGATGTTACTTTTTTGTAGAAAAGTAACAGGGTTATCTGCCTACTAGGGCGAAATGTCAAATTTGACTGCTCTGTCAAAGTTGCGTAAATTTTAGAACATAATTTCGACCGTCCTTGTATAATAAAAAATATTTGATTCAATTTTAAATGTACAAACGATACATTTGAATGCGTTGCTTTGATCCTCCAAATTTCAAGTTAATCAATGTAATAATTGCATATTAACCTAAAACGGTATATCCCATTTGTAAAAACTTAAAAATAAAATTACATGATGATTATTTATTATTTTATACGTCAATTTTTAATCCAAAGTGAAATTATGTAATTAATAATCAGTCTTCATGTAATTAGAGCATTCCTGAGATTACTGTTTGTTGTTGTAAAGTACAAAGTAGAGTAAATATAATAAATGTCTATTTGACGAACTTCTCGGTACAATCCTTTTTTTATTGTAGTTTAATTTTGCTAAGTCATAACATCTGTTTTATATACCTACCTGTTCTAGCTGCTCTCCATATTTTAATGTCATTTAAACCTATTACCTGATACCTGACACAATTCGTATTTTATTGCCTACTACGTAAATTACTTTTATCCTTTTATAATCACTCTATAAGTGATATATAGAAAGATAAGTACGTAAGTTAATCCAGCACACAAATAGAAACTTAACCTTATCTCATTATGTTTAGGATTTTTCTGTAGTAGTTTACAATCATTCCAACGTTACATGCCTCGATGTAACACTGATTAAAACTCAAACAGGCAGTAATTATAAGTAATTACTAGTTGTTAAGTGTGCAGAAACTGCGACGGAGATTTATAGTGTGTTTTTATATTAAACTCGGTGAGACTATCAAAACGGAACCATCGAATTTATGCTTGAGAGCCGCTGACGTTGTTGGCGATATGGTGATTTTGTGTTGTGCTCTTCAGCCTCTACCCAAACAGCCGTCCCTGCAGCACACGACGCTGCAGAGGCACGTGAGAGCGCACAGGAACGTCAACATACCCAGGTTTCACTATCCGTCGGGCAAACCGGGGCCTCCTAGTCAGATGGACGTCATCAGAGCAAAGGTAAGAATGCAAGTTTACATTAAAGATCGAAAAATCTGCCACTATCACTACATCAATATACCTAGGATCCAGAATGGTTGAATCGTTTGGGGAACGCAGTCAGTCTGTTTCTTACACCATCTTTAGCATATAAAAATCTGTAGTATTGGTAGAGACAGGCACAGGCTGCGATCTCCAAATACTTCAATCATTCTGGATCTCTCTGTATCATTTATAACTATATGCACCTGAAAATTCGTAATGTCATTTCATTGCAGAGAGAAACCTAAAAATTAATTCAAGATTACGCACGAAAAAGTTAGAAAATGAATTGTAATTTATGACTAATAATAAATCTTCAGTATCTTCTAAGTGTCCTTCAGGACTTTAGCAGAAGGGGCTAGTACAGACTTCACCCATCTTAGAAAAATTTATTTCCTATTGCCATATCAATAATTTTTACGGTAATTTTAAATATTTCATGTATTAGCAAAAATGAGATTATTATTCCCATTTCACACTTCCTTAATGTCAACTTATAGGTCTTGATTTTTAATACTTAAATCTCTATAATACAGGGTGTCCCGAAATTCATGCAACAAAATTTAGTCATAGATTCTTAAGAGAAATTTAGGGGATCCGTATTTTTTATTTTTGCCAAGTGGCCCCCTCCTTCGGAGTTACAGCCCCCTGAAATCCGCCCTTAAGAATAATCTTTTTTTATATCTAATTGTCAGAACCCTGTTGTACGAGAATCACTAAATTTGGTATACAGGGGTTTTATAACATGTGGAATCTGATGGTGCTCCTTAAGGCAATTTTTCGTGGGCCCCCTTGTCTTTGGACCAAAAAAATTTGGTCGCATATTTAATTTTCTTAAAAATTATCAGTCCCCTAGAAAGCCATTAAATTTAGAAATTTTTTTGTCTATTATGTTTTCGAGAAAAATGTCAAAATGTGATCGAATGCATATGTGATTCGCCATTTTCCTCAAAAACATTGCGTTTTACGAAACAAATATCAAGAGACAAAAAAGTTTCTAAACTCATTGGTTTTCTAGCTAACTAATAATTTAAAAAAAAAATCAAATTTGCGACCAAATTTTTCTGGTTCCAAAGACAATGGCGCCCACAAAAAAGTGTCTTAAGGGGGTTTCTAGCCAAAAAGCGTAGCACTGTGAGATTCCACGTCATAAAACTCCTGTGTACTAAATTTAGTGATTCTCGTATTACATGGTTTTGAGATATAAAAAAGACTTCTTAGGGGTAGATTTCATGGGTCTGTAACTCCGAAAGAGGGGGGCCAGTTGGCAAAAAGAAAAATAAGGGTCCCCTAAATTTGTCTTAAGAATCTATGACCAAATTTTGTTGCATGAATTTCGGGACACCCCTGTATAATTTCAGGATAGTATATAATGTCACTTTTAGCCCTCCAAATATTAAAATTGCTTTTAATCTATCTAACAAAACCAAAATTACTTCATACAATTGAAATATTTGCTGGAGTATCTAAAGGAGGCTCTCCAGATGATACGGTCACTCGTCAAATATTTGTAGATTATTTGGCCAAAATTTGTAAACCATGTAATTACATTATGGTACAGAATATTCAGGTAACATTCTATCCCTGTTATCTATGTTACTTTCATATATTTAGAAAAGAACTGTATGGGACAAAATTGTTGGACATTTTCTCGTGATTCAAACCTATACTTATAAAAACAATTGAATGTTGCATTTTGAAGATACAAGCCAAAGTTATACTTATATTAGTTTGGTAAAACACGCTGTATATTTTTAAATATTTGGATATGTAATGAGGAAAGTATCACCAAACGAGTATACTATAACTCTAGTATACTATAGTATACTAGAGTTATAGTACTACGAGTATACTATAATAAACTCTTTGCTCTATTCTGGCCATATCTCTTTTATTATTAGAGATTAGATCGTCAAACCTTATATCACTGTAATGTTCAATCAATAAAAAATATATGTTTGACATGTTTTACATATTACGTCTCCAAAAAACAAATGTTGTTTTTGTAAGAACATATTTGAAATTATAAGAAAATTTTCTACAAATTTATGGAGTAGAATATTATGTAAATAACCATGTACACGTGCCATTTTTTACAAATGTAAAAAGGAATACGTGGTGGAGCTTACTTGAAGTTGATAGCGGTGTTTGTACATTTTACTTACCGTTCTCTGAGCGAACCACCTCATCAATTAACACTTGTTTATTGAATAGTCCAAACAGTGTGCCGTTTGTAATGTTTAGTATATTTTGCGAATATGCTTTCGAATGTATCGATATGCACCATCACACGATACGGCATTTCGGCATTTGTTTATGTTGTATTCATATTTGGCTAAGTGACCAAATCACCTAGAGCCGGCTTTGTTAATGCTCAAAAACAGAATTAGGGGGATAATGCTATATATTATTTTCTCAAATTTTGTCTCCGTTTCTTATCCGTCCATTTGTTAATATTATATTTAGAAATCGAGTGACGTAAAAAATAATTTATCTGTGTTGCACTCATAAATCTTTTCAGATATCAGCTATCTCCAAATACAACACAAATAATCTTACACGGTAGACTATACAAGGTGTTTCTGAAATAAGTGGTTCCTTAAAATGAGTAATAGAACTAATTATTGTAAGCAAAAACAGTCATATGAACTTGGATCGTTGTTCGCTTTGTTTTCGATATATAGTGTTGAAATTACCAAAAAAGTATACTTACATTTTTCTGCATTATCTCTGAGGATATTTGATGTAGACTGAAGAAATTTAGTCCACTGATTTACTTAAGTAAAGGTAAAAACCAGCTAACTTGATTTACAAATATGTCAATCAGTGGTGGAGATACGAGAAGTAAGTAGCACTGAAAGCCTCAAAACTTCGACGCCAATGAGTAATCTGCATATTTATTTAGTGCTGTTGATTTTAGAGCCATTTTACTTCTGTTTTTATAAAATGGGGTACCAAGAATCAAAAATAATTCTAAAACTCTTTATTCCACAAAAATGGAATAGTTTTATTAGAAATATAATTTTAGATATTAGTGTGTTAATAATTAAAAAAAAATTGGTGTATAAAAATTGTAACGTAACAGCTCCTAAAAGATATCAAAATTTCTACGCCAATGATTGTTTGAATTTTTGACACATTGCTTTATATTTAAAATTATATTTCTAACAAAAAAATCCTACGTTCTGTTTTTACGGAGCGAAGATTTATTTTCGATTTACTTGACCGTGTTCTCTGTTCACTTTAATATAAAAAGAATCATACTAGAACAACTCGTTCTTCGAAAAAACTGTAAGGCACCTTTTTTTCTTGGAAATTAGTTATAAAAAATACTAATAAAGTTTGCAAAATACTCCTTGGCGTCGAAGTTCTGGGGTTCCTAGTGGTACCTACTCCTCGTATCTCCTTGTCCCATATTCATTTGAAACTTTTTGCTTAAAATAATTTGTTGTATTATCCATTTGAAGGAACCAACCTATTTCAGAGGTACCCTGTGTAATGTCATATCCTAAACAATTCATTCATAACTCTAATTATATCTTTCGGATTTTCTTATTATACAGGGATGGCCAGAAGTACGGAATAAAATTCATATCTTTTGAATGAGTTAATTTTTTTTTAAAACGCCGAAACACGTTAACTGATTTTGATTTTTGCCCATCTTTCGGTTATATAATAATTAATTTTTCTTCAACCCCCTAACCCCCAGCTACCCCTACTTTTTTTTTCAAATGGAAACATAAGGCATGAGGGGGCTCGTTGAAAAGCTTATAGAAAACCGAATCCAGCCATACCAAATAAACAAGTTTTATTTTTTCAATAACAAGTTTTTTTTCATTTAGAAATTGAAACAACTAGATAATTTACAAAAATAAACTCAATGTCGCAAATGCTGAAAATGTCCTCCATTCACTATTTGGCATTCTCCAAGACGATAGTAAAAGCTGTCCACAGCATTCTGAATGACTTCAGCTGGTAAATTATGCATCTCCGCCCTAATCTTGTTCTTTAAATTCTCAATATTATCCGGTCTGTCCTGGTAGACTCTTTCTTTCAAATATCCCCAAAGAAAATAATCCAGGGGTGTTAAGTCGGGGGATCTTGGCGGCCATTCAACTGTACCCCGTCTACCAATCCAGCGATTTGGAAACATTTCATCTAAGTATCTTCGAACATCAATACCAAAATGTGGGGGAGCGCCATCTTGTTGGAACCAAATTCTTTCATTCGGTATATCTGGATCAATTTCATGAGGGAAAATCACAGCTAGAGCAGGTATCAGGTCAAATGTTAGGAAATCCAGGTAGCGTGCGGCAGTAAGATTTTCTTCAAAAAAGAATGGGCCCAAGATTCTGTTGTTGATGATACCTGCCCATACATTAACTTTTTGTGGATGCTGCGTATGCGATTCGCATGTCCAGTGTGGATTTTCCTGGGACCAAAAGCGATAGTTGTGCCTGTTAACCACTCCATTTAAATAAAACGTAGCTTCATCCGAAAAAAGTACGTCTCGTTGAAAACCATTATTGTCGTCACACCGTCTCATCATTTCCTCACAAAATTGTAATCGCCTATCATAATCGTCTTCCAAAAGCTCTTGGACAAGACATACCTTATAGGGGTGGTATTTCTCTTGTTTCAGAAACATTCGAATTGCAGTTCGAGAAGCATCGTGATTGCGGGCCAATGAAACAGTTGAAGTATGAGGATTTTCAACAAGTTCTAATGCAATGTCTAATTTCTTTTCTTCATTCAAAGCACGTGCCCGTCCAGTTTTGGGCAAAGTCTGTACTGTACCGTGTTCCTCAAATTTGTGAAATATTTTACTAACTGTCCCTTGCGAGATTTGGTTTTCGGGATATTTCGCATTAAATAAATCGCGCACTTCAGCCTGACTTCTTATTTTGTCTCCACATCCAAGCAATATCAAGATTTCGATGCGTTGCCTTTCCGACAATACCATTGCAATTCAGTAAATAACTTGATTTTGACACAATAGTAACGTTTCGAACTCCAATTTACAACTAAAGCGAAAAATTAACCAGAAAGCCTGGCAAGTAAGTGGTGCCAAAAAAACGCAACATAAAAAATATATCTTTTTTGCGTTAGCAGTGATAGGTACAGTTTCAAATTCTTTATTTTATTCTGTGCAAATTCATGGAGGATAACACTGAAGATAATTAAATTTTATTTCATTTGTTAAGTAGGTGTTCTATACAACCCTAAAAACCTTGCTATTGAAAAAATAAAACTGGTTTATTTGGTATGGCTGGATTCGGTTTTCTATAAGCTTTTCAACGAGCTCCCTAATGCCTTATGTTTCCATTTAAAAAAAAAGTAGGGGTAGCTGGGGGTTAGGGGGTTGAAGAAAAATTAATTATTATATAACCGAAAGATGGGAAGAAATCAAAATCAGTTAACGTGTTTCGGCGTTTTAAAAAAAATTTACTCATTCAAAAGATATGAATTTTATTCTGTACTTCTGGCCATCCCTGTATGTAGTCTACCTAGCAAATTTGATTATTTTTATTGTTATTCACTTTTCTCACCTCTTGGAAAATTTTCTCCCGACGCCCATGCGTAAATATAGGAAATAATAACAATGCTGCAATTGAAATAAATTCAACTAATTGCGTACGTGATTATTTTCAATTAAAATATATTCACCAAAATTATGTTTATGTTAATGTTTGACTTAACAGATTGGATCCGCATTCTCCAAGATTGGCGAGAGAGCTTCCAGGGAGCATTTTGGGGCTATCACTCAAGCGTGTCAGCTGCCGCTGTACTGGAAAACTCCTTTGTATTTGGCAGCGTGTGCGGACAAGGGTAGTTGTACGATGGAACAGTTCATGAATTTTTGGCAAAGGTGAGTTCTCATATTAGTACAAATATTACGTCGTCAATAGCATATGATTTTTTTTATATAAACCTGCCTAAAATGTTTACAAAGTAAAAATAGAAAACGAAGTATCTAGACAAGGTGCTTCCGATAAAAAAAAATATTCAAATGCTAGTAGACTTCTGATAGAACCTTTTAGAAAATCTGTAACTGCTAATAGCAGTAATGTTCGGTTGGTTTCTTGTTTACTTATTCCTCTAAGGTTTCTCTGGTAACTATTAACTGACCACTGACCATTATCTTTCACATCGATTAAGTTACTTTCATTTCAGTTGACAAGAAAAGTAACTTTGTCTCTGTAATGGCGTTTTTGCTACCTTTTTAGATGTTAACAGAAAATGGAATAATGTGACAAAAACCTGCCGTGTATTTTTGTATGAAGTCATTATTTAACTGGAAATTTAAATATACCGGGTGTCCGGAAAGGTCATGTCAAAAATGAAGTAAAAATAGTTGTAGTATTTCATAAAAAAAAATCAGTCGATATTTTGTACCGTTTTTTTGAAAAATCGAATTCTATTAACAACATACATGTATTGCATCAAAAATGTGATATTAACATTTTTATAAAAAAATCTTGGTTCCTTTGGAAATTGAGATGACTACCAATAAGTCTGTATAATTAGCAGTTAGATATTTGTCATAAATCATTTTGATACATTTAGATTATTATTTAGACAAAACACCAACAAAAATTTATCATTAATGTATGGATGGGAAATAATTGAAAACTACTTAGAATTGATGACATTGTACATGGGTATAAATACCTATATTTACTGCAAGAACACCTTAATCCGTTATTGGAAGACGTCCCTTTAAATATTTGAAAATAACATGTGGTTTATGCCCGATGGTGCACCACCCCATTTTAACAGGGAAGTAAGGGCTTATTTAAATACCACATTTCCCGATCGTTGGATAGGTCGAGGTAGTTCTTTTCCGTGGCCGCCTCGGCCTCCCGATCTTAATCCTCCCGATTTTTTTCTTTGGGGCCATCTTAAAAGTCTTGTTTATCAAACTACTATAAATAGTAGGAAATAATTATTAAATATTAATAATTATCAATTTGACAAGCTATACGGAAATAATGGTTATGGTTATTTATGATAATTGGAATAAGCGGTTGAATAAAGGAACGGATTACTAATACATTTTTTATATTACAATTTTTTAAAACATCTTTTCACTTAAAAAAAGAACAGACGATTTTCGGGAGTGGAGTTCATAAATAAGGACAAATTCTAAGCTTAGAAATAAAGTGTTTTCATCTGTACATATACATACGCCTGATATATTATATTTTTATATTTTTAAAAGTTCTTAAAATGTATAAGTTCACTAATCGGAAAATGGGATATCTGATAGCTTAAAATTCAATTCACCGCTAGCAACCGAAATTTTTAAGTAGTCGCTTGGATATGTATCAAATATAACCATTTTCAGAAATCGCGTATAGCCACAGGTTAGATATGTGGTATAGCAATCTTAATATTTTTAAGGCTCACGTTGATTTACAGAACGGAGTTTTGGTTAAAATATTATACCTACCTATCATCTCTCACTTCTCTAACACAGAAAAGTTATTTAAAGTTTCCATCAGGCTGCAGCTCAAATTTCAGTTTTATTTATTTCTCAGAAAATATCGAAACTTTACTCGACCCCCACAAACCTAAATGTACGCATTTAAAACTTTACAGCACGCCAAGCGCCATGCTTGACAGTTATATTCAATTCTATAGTTCCTAGATTGACCAAATACCTATTTGGCTCTAAATGGTAGTTTACAAATTATTATTTATATTTGGCAGCTGTTTAAATCTAAATATTATCAAAATTTAATAGTCTGTAAATATGTATTGTCAAATAAACTGTTCGGTTATTTTGTATTTTGACCGATACGAAAAAATGCTTGCTCCTATAAAAAATTAACCATTTGAATATTATTTAAGGAGTTTCAATATCTACGTATTAAATTATATTTTTACATCCTATACATATACAGGGTGTAACGTAAAGGTTGGGAATAAATGAAACGGTGGATTTTTTATTTTAAAAAATAAATATTTGTAATATAAAGTTATTGCTCTACGGGTTTTCTTTTCCAAGCTACAGGGCGCTAAAAAAATTCAAAAAATTTAATATAATTTTCAGTGAAAAAGTCTTTTCTCAATGCCTATTTGACCATGTTCGGTGGCTGAGTCAAAGCATTCTTCATAATGTTTTTGTTACTTTTATTTTCCTATGTTAGCAGTGGGAAAAATGGTATTTACAAAAGTTTTATTTACGGAAAAATTACAAGAGCTACAAATAAAACGCAAGAGGGTAATTTTGTTTAAAATAAAAAGTGGATCATAAAAAAATGTTTCTACCAGTGGCGTACCACAATTTTATTCGAAAATTCTTACGGTACAATCCGTACGCACGACACTGAGTAACTTACAAAGTCAATCTTTTTCCTGTTACTAGAGGATTATCAAATTAAGCTAAGGCTAAAATTTCGTTCCATTATCTTATAATGTTCGAAAGTTATTGGAGAAAAAATATTTTTTTTTTAACTTTCTAGCGCCCTGTAGCTTGGAAAAGAAAACCCGAGAGCATAACTTCATATAAGAAAAATTTATTTTTTGAACCAAAAATTGAGAAATTTATTTTATATTTTATGGTTTTTAACAGAGAGATTACCCCGAAATGGCGGGCGAATGCAGTACTTTATTAGTCTAGGCACATTAGTAATTTGTGACCTTCATGGTCATTTCAAGGTCATATTCGAACGTAAAATTTTCCGTACCATTTCCGGGGTCAAAATGATTGGGTCTCATTTAAAAAAATTTTCGTAACCTTGATATGACCTTGAAGGTCATGATCCATATCAAATTCAAGGTCACCATCGGATAGCCAGGGAACAATCCTAAACCCTTTGTGCTTTATTTTTACCCTACCCATTGAATATTCCCAGATATCCTGCCATTCCGGTACTTTTGGCCCAACCTGTATATTAAAAGTATTAAATTACAAATTAATAGACTTGTTCCCATTGCAGATTTTTGTTGTCTATGTTAATATTTTATCCCAGCTATGACTTCGAACCGAATAAAATTAAAATGTTATATTTCTAGAAGTGTTTTAATTTTTTAGAAGATATGTTTACTTTCGCTAATATTCACTCCTGTATCTATAGAAGACGGGATTTCAAAAGTTTTCTGAAGCTTTAAAGTTCAAGTAGTTTAAGCATATTGATTATTTTGAATTGCATACTAATTATAAATAACGCCGGTAGTCTGAAAAGGTTTCCGTGGATAACATGACACGATTCTTGACCTTTTATTATTATCGTACATGCAACATAAAACCCAGTGAGTGATTTAACCAGACATATACTTTACTGCATGCATCAATGATCCTTTGAGATATTATTTTCACATGTAACTTGATAGGCCTTTAGTTTTTTTCCATTTATGTTCATGCAGCAGTAATATCACTGATAAACTACTCATTGTAGAAGAGTTTCATATTACTAATTTTAAAAAGTAGCTAATAATGTCAGTTGAGGATCTCACAATCAGTAAACAATGTTAATTAAAGTCTATATAAGTATTTTTTTACTTTCAGTATGGTTCAGCAGTGTCACGACGCTGCGTCCCGTTTCGTTTACATATTGACCAGGGGTCGTCGCACCTGGCTGGCTCCAGAAGACTTCATTCCTCTAGTCCAGGACGTAGTAGAGACGCACCCCGGCTTAACTTTCTTGAAGGAAGCCACAGAATTTCACTCGCGCTACGTTCATACGGTCATAGCGCGGATTTACTACTGCGTCAACAGGTGAGCGATCTTGTTTGAAAATAAAAGTATCCTTTATTTACGCGGAGTTCATGTAGTCGTATATAACGAAATCTATGTTGTTCTCAATACAGGGTTCATAATGTTATAGTCGAGAATAGCGAATTTGCGAATATTGTCTCAATTTACCAATTTAAGAAACAATTTTATTTTTTTATGTAAATTAAGCAATTAGAATAACATTCATATTTCATAATTCTGCACTGCTTTAAGGGGAGCTCGTATAGTCGCGAATTTTCGAATTGCGATTTTCAAATGTGGTTGGTACTGGTTGATTTAATATAATAATTGTAGCATTTCGCAATTCACAACAACTGTATTAACACGGCTTTAGACGGCGATCGTACTGGATGGGAATTCGTACAAAATGTGTGAAATCATACAAAATCTAAGCCATTAGTACGACGAGACATTAGATAGAATACAAGTTCGCTTTACGAAAGCATTAATTTTTTTTATTCAAGTAAAATCGATCTAATTTATTACTCACCGTAATATAACCCGGTCAAAGTAGCTCAAAAAATACAATAATTTGCATAAAGCTGAAAATTGGTACGAATGTTGGGAACACCATTATAAATGAAATGTGAAAAGTCCCCATCAATCCCACATCTGCAAAAAAATTCGCAAGTTGGGTTTTTTACATTTTTCAGACAAACGGTAAGTTTTATCATCAAAATAGGTCAGAAAAAATTGTTCTTACACTTTTTCCTAAGTATCACCATTTCTGAGATATAACGATTCAAAAAGTTGAAAAAGTTGTCCATAATATGCACACGTTTCCACGCCACCTGTGAGGTAGTGTACCTACTTGGCGCGTTTTTTTTTTAACGTGGTTTCCCTGGTAGGCCTATTCCACGATCTATTGTGGGCCTGTTTGATTAAATAATATTGTATTAAATAAAAAATGGTACTTACTATTCGGAATGATCATAGCGGTGTGAATTATGAATAATTGGGGAGAACTATTCGTCTGATTGATAATTCTAATGGAACTTCAAGTGTAATGTCTTTTTCTTCTTCTTATCTTCTTCTTCTTCCTGCTGGATACAAGTAAATTGTTCTAACAGCGATGCATCAGATGTCTCTTCGCTGGGACTTGATTTTTGAAAACAGGAGAGTTAGTTCATTAGAGAAAATTACGTCATTTTCTCTTGACACAGATAATGTGATTTTTGAAATTTTCTTGTGGAATATTTTCTCTAGATATCAAGAGAAATAATTCCACAGGGTTTTGTCGGGGGGGGGGTAATTGGCGTTTTCTCCGAATAGTTTGAATACGAATGTCATCTCATGCTCATGCGCAAATTGTCACTTCATTCATTCGCTGTTCGAAGGTTCATAGTAATCATTTGAAATTTGAAATTTGTAATGGATCCAAATAATTTATTATTAAATCTAAATATAATGAATAATTTGCAAGCTGCAGAAATTGTAAACCATCCGCGACAACATTAATTAAACCATTTAAAGTTTCAGCAATATCTGACCACTGTTCTTGGGTCTTTTTGTGAGTAAAAGTAGAAGAAAACTTTCATTTTAAAAAGTTCGTTGTTTCTAAGCATATTAATTTATTTTTTGCGCTTTCGACGTGAACGAACGCTTCATCATAATTATAATAATATTAAATTTTTTATGTTTTCAAATATACTTCTATTCAAATTGAAGTTATATTAAATTACTACGAATATCATGGAGATGTCTAGTCTCCCTGACGAATATAATGACATTTACAAAACAAACTTCAAAATCAAATCAAGTGACTAAACATCAGGGTCGCCAATAATGGCACTGAAATATTGAAAAAAAACTCTACCCGCTGATTGGTCAGTTGCAAATATATCCTCGACAAATTAAATTCTCTAGAGCATTGGATTCCTTCAACGTTCAAAAATAAGTATTTAAGTTTTTAAGAGAAATTTGTCAGGTGAATTTTTTCTCTGGAGAATCAGTTCTCCTGTTTTCAAAAATCAAGCCCCTGATATCGTAAGAATTCTCTTCTGACGGCGATTCAATAATGGAGCACGACTGGCCTTGACAGCTGGTACATGATAATGAACAAAACAATCCAACTTTTTTGCAGCTGCACTTGGCACTACACCCCTTTTTGTAATTGCAAAAAATTAAATTGAGGAGTTTTTCCGGTGCAGGTGGGAGTAAAGTCTGGATTGGTTTCAATGTATTGTCAATTAACTTCCAACCCCAGTCTTCTGGGTCCATTGGATTCCCAAGCCACATTTGACTTGATAATGTACCCGAAATAGATGTTGATGAGCATAAGCAAAGGTTAGGGAAGACAAGCTAATTACACTCGTTTATTGTTACTAGTATTTTTTACAGAAAATAAGTATCAAAACTTATCCAAACAGAACATATAAAATAAGGGACTGGGTTTCTTTTGTGTTTATATTCTCAGAATCGTACAATTTGTACGTATATGTTACACAGACCAATATTTTTGCTTGTATTACGGATCCAGTGATGTATATAGGTATCGTACTCATGCATATTATGGAGAACACAACTTTTTGAATCGCTATATCTCAGAAATGGTGATTCTTAAGAAAAAAGTGTAAAAACAATTTTTACAGATAATTGCATGATCTACAATTTTTGTCGGACCTATTTTTATGATAAAACTTACCGTTTGGCTGAAAAAATTAAAAAACCCATATTTGCTAACTTTAACCTTAAATATTAAATTGATAGGGACTTTTCACATTTCATTTATAATGGTGTTCCCAACATTGGTAACAATTTTCAGCTTTATGCGAATTATTGCAACCTTGACTGTCTATTTTTACCGGGCTAATACATGAGTTCACTGTTTCAAAAATCCACCTTTTATTGAGAAAATGTGAACATTTAAATCACGAAATAGGATTACTAAATTTCTGAACAGAGAAATTAATACACGCACATAAGAAACTAGAGAGCAAATTTGGAACAATCGAAGTATTTTTGGAAAATTGAATTAAAAATAGTTCTAGGATTTAGTGGATTTTAAAATGTTCCGATTTGAAATCTAAAGTTTTCTGTAGTTTAAATTTTATTTTTGCCATAAAAAAATACATGTAAAGTGTAGAAATTGCTCAACTCAAGACACTGTTAGAATTGTTTTACAAATATTGGTAATAAGAAATAATTTTTATGTAGTTTGTTTTATCATTTGTATAGTATTACTTTTAATATGTGCATTGCAATTCTATTTAATTTTGTTCTAGTAACTTTGTCATTTCTTCTCTGCTCCGTACCTGGGTTTTATCCTGTTCTGTAGGAGGAATTAAATAAATATTAAATTTTTTGTCTGATAATTATTCTTATACCGAATAAGTCTAATACATTTTCTTTGACACTTGATATTTTGAAAACAAACTATTTTGGTCTCATACAAAATTCGTACAGGGTGTAGACAGTGCAGACATACACAAATGTAAACATATTTATGTGTTTCAATTTGACATGTTGATTTAAGTTGAAATGTTTGATTTTCATCTAATCAAAAGTAGAATTTTGCTCTTACTGTATAAAACAATAAAAATGGAAAAATTTGAAATCGTAAGAAAACTAATCCACATGCTAGTTGCGTGGTAGATTCATCTTCAACATTTCTTCCTCTGACTGCAACTTAGGGAAAGGCCCAACTTATCCTGTTCAATGTTCTGCAATGTTCTTACAATTATCCAACATCTCAGACTTATTAGACGAGATCCACAAATCTTCCCAAGATGGGATGGAACTTCATCAGAAAATGTTCTGCATAATGGCACGATGCCTCTGTAGTGTTTTGTGAGCATTCACCGGAGATTGTCGTTTAAACACCACTAACATGTTTAATAAAACACATACTTCAAAATGTAAGTTACATAACACAACACTGTTCTATGTTGAGACTGATGGGTACGATTTATCATAAGCTCATGACTTGTGATCAGCGTGTAAGGACTGACCTTACAAGATGTATTTTGTTTATTTACGTGCATATTTTAGTAATTAAAAAGTTTTAACCAGACGATTTGTAAAAAATTACTATTTTCAATACTCATAAATGTCAATTAAAAGTAAAAAAGTCTATTCTGGCAAATCACAATTCGTAAATTCACGACTATAATATAAACTTCGTGTGCAGTAAAATGTATTCATACGAATTCTGATGAAAACAAAGATTTTTTCTCTATATAGAATTTAATAATTCAATACAGCATATCAACATTATAAAATGCATTTCAGATCATGGTCAGGAAAAATTTCCATACCAGAACTCAGGCGATCAAATCTTCTCAGCATTATCCAATTACTCGAAGAAGAAGAAGATATTAACCAAATTACTCAGTATTTTAGTTACGAACATTTTTACGTTATTTATTGTAAGTTCTGGGAATTGGACAGGGATCACGATTTGTTCATAGATAAACAAGACTTAACGAGACACAACGACCACGGTAAGGACTTTTACATCCAAAGGCTTCTCCAAACTCTGGAATTTTCTTAAAATCCATCTGGTTTCAGCTTTATCCTCGCGTATTATAGACCGCATATTCAGCGGTTGCGTGACCCGAGGACATAAAAAACAGCATGAGGAGAAGATGTCCTATACTGATTTTGTGTGGTTCCTTCTCAGTGAGGAGGACAAGCTGCATCCCACCGCCATCGAGTACTGGTTCCGTTGTATGGATCTGGACGGTGACGGTTATCTGTCCATGTACGAACTGGAATATTTCTACGATGAACAGATGCACAGGATGGAAGCGATAGGAATTGAAACGTTGCCTTTCCAAGTAAGTGTTACAAATAAGAAAGAAAATTTTAGGTTCAGAAAAATTTTTTAATGGGGTGTTATAGTTTACTCATAAAACTTTTATTAGTATTACTTGCTTCATAGATGTTTGTTTTAGTAACTATTTGATAGATATTATCTCATTAATAATTAAAATAATACAACCAGAGCAATGAACATGAAATTACATTCATTATTCAAAATATTATAAAAATGACTTTTATATGATACCGCTGTATGGAATCGTGGAATCTATATAAATTTGAAAATACAGGGTGATTCAGAACTTATCCAAAAAAAAAAAAATTGGATGTACAGGGTACTCTTAGAAATACAATTTTGTAAAGAAAAAATAAAAAAGGGCAGTTTGAAAATGATTTAAAAATACACTTCTACACTACACAGGAAACTGGTCCACTGTAAAACTGACCTTGCATAATGCGACCGGCATGGTAACATGATAAAAACGGACAAAAACTTGGAAGAATTTAGCAAGGAAAGGAATAAATTGAATTTTGTAGCACCTATTTTATATCAGCAAATTCAACTGCTTTTGCCGCTATTTTTGACACTACTAAAAAACTATTGTAAACACTATCACAATGATGATTGTAAAATCGGATTTCAGTATTCGGCGTCACTGAGGCCATATGGATCTCCTTGCATATTGCGAATGACGCTAAAGACTACAGTTGTCCAGCGATGTAATGCTTGAAAGTACTACAGCTTCAATAATTATAAAAAAAAATTTATCAGAAACTATAAGGTTTTTACAAAAAATTTTTTACGATATTGACTCCATTTCTCATGCCGCATCTATTCCCAAATTTTTTTGGATAAGATGTGAATCACCCCGTATATTGATTATACACATATACCCAAGCACAACACCATGTTGCCAATTTGTGGATTTTTCGTCCATTTCTAGAAATTTTTGTGTCAATTTTTTATAAATGATGCACATTCTGATCCTTGTAAATATGATTGATTTTACACCATAATAAATATAGCACTGAAAGATATATTTTAAAATATAGAGTGTAATTTTGCATGGGGATCATACATATTTATATGAAGGTTACCTTTGGAAACACATATCACAGGATTGTTTTTTTTTAAGTTTAAATTCTTTCCTGAAAACTAAATATTTTTCAATCTTTTTTTCATAATTTTGATAACCCACTGTTGCAGTAGCTAGTGCAAAATAAGGTATGTCCATTCTTACGCAAAATAACATTTTTGTGTTTTTGACCCACCCTGTGCAACCAAATTGAAGTTCATCATGGTGATTCATATTTTCTAAACAAGCAAAAACTTTTATCAAGAATGCCTTTTTTTCGTATCATTCACTTTTTGGTCCATTTGTCCTCTTGTAAACTCAATCCGCGGACATACTGTATATGATATTCCTGAGTTTTCACTTTGGCAGTAATCATATATTCATATGAACAATATGAAAATACTTATATTTTTGCCTAGGCAAAGTTATTCTCATTAGCAAATCTAACCAATTATTTTTTAGTAGTTCAGTTTTATTAATTTTTTTGGTTTATGTAGAGAATATTATCCTAAACTATTTCTGTGTACTCTGTCCAAAACATTTTATTTTATTAAATATAACTGGAAAAGGCCGTTGTGCAAATTTATATTAAAAAAAATGTTGAAGAACAAGCCTTAAAAAATATAAAAGCATATAATAGTTTTTTTTTTGAAATTGTAGGGATCGAGAAAAGCCTGATTATTCCAATATCGTTAAAATAATAGAAAGGAAATATATTTAATAAATTTTTTTAGGATTGCCTATGCCAAATGTTAGATATGGTGAAACCAAAAATTCCAGGGAAAATAGCACTAAGCGATTTAAAGAAATGTAAAATGACCCCGATTTTCTTTGACACGTTCTTTAACCTAGAAAAGTACCTGGACCACGAACAAAGAGATCCGTTTGCCTCACAAAGAGACCACGATATTGATGGACAAGAGGTAGTAAATCTCATCTAACCTTATTTCATAAACTAATCATTCATTATCTTTTCTTCTTCAGATGTCAGATTGGGACAGATACGCAGCAGAAGAATACGAATTATTAGTAGCGGAAGAAGGAGGAAACGACCAACAAGACAGCCTGTAAGTATGCTCAACTACCCCTTAAAAATTATACAAATGTATTAACCTGGTTGAAAAACGTACGATTTTAACATAATATTATGAGACCGTTTTCTTTATTTTCAATCAGTTTAATGATTAATATGTTGGTAGAGGTTCATTAATATGTTTGGTTGTATTTAGGGATTACGATTGTGGCTATGATAGGGTAAGAATAGCATGGGTCTTGTTTGGAGGAAATTAGAAGTTATTTGAACTAACAGAACTAAACTAACCCATTGTCTTGTCTTTGAATGAAACTAACATGTATTTGTTGGAATATTTACACAGAATAATATGCATTTTAACTAAATCGTATTAGAATATCTAAGAAGTGCGGGTTTATTTTCATGTTATAAATATTAAAGGTGTAGGGTGTAGGATGTCCCAAAAAAAAAAACTAATATTTTTTTCCTGTCTCTTGTGAAAGTATGTTAGATCATATTTTAAGGGCCTCCTCAAAAAATCAGCTCAAAACTAAATTTTTTAGAGGTCGCTCAAAATTTTAAAAAATTTCCAAAATTGTCAAAAATTTAATTTTTTTTCTCGTTATTTTATCATTTTCTAGGTTGAAAAAAATTTCGATTCTGAAAATTTCAAATCGATATTTTAATTTCTAAAGGTCACTTATAGTTACTACAACTTTGAAAGTAGTGTACATGTTTTTGAGCCACCTTTGAAAATAAATATCAACGAACTAATAATTTTTTTTTATTGAATTTGATGAACAAAAGAATAGAAATAAATCACGACACTTAAATTTTAAAAAATTATAAATATTTGATACTCACAGTGCGGTAGTAAATTTTGCCTTGAGAAATTTCAGCAAATTCAATAAAAAAAGTTATTTGTTCGTTGATATTTATTTTTAGAGGTCGCTGAAAAACATTTTAGGTACACTATTTTTAAAGTTACATAAAATAATTATGAGTGACCTTTGGAAATTAAAATATATATTTGAAATTTTCAGAATCGAGATTTTTTTCAACCTAGAAAATGCTAAATAACGAGAAAAAAATTTTTTTTCTTTTAAAAATAAATTTTTGACGATTTTGGAAAATTTAGTCTTGAGCGACCTAAAAAAATTTTTTTTGGGGGGACTCTTAAAACATGATAAATTAACATATATTCACAAGACACGAAAAAAAAATTCGTTTTTTTTGGGCCACCCTAACGTATAGGTACTGTATAATCGTAATGTTTATAAGATCTTGTGGTGCCACCAGCGGCCTATTCTGCAAATTTAGGCTTAAATAATATTAGGTAAAACGAAAAAAAATACAGTTCATATGTAGCATTTTCCAAGGTATTATTAATTTTTAAGAAAAACTCTCCTGCACATCAACTTTTGCTGACCTTTTAATTATAACATCTTGGGAATCAACTTTTCGTCTACACTTCACCACTCCATCAGTCACTGAACTTTATTTTAGTGCTAGTTCCGCTTTTGGTCGCCAAAATTTTTGTCAGTGGTTCACTGTGGTTTTAAATTTATGACTTCATTACTATTGTCTATTTACTGTCCTGCTTTAACCTTTGATCCAAATCTGTTTTATGTATTTTCTTGGCAATGCACTTTAGAAATATAAACAAGTTTTACAACTGACAGACTAAATATTAACCGTGACCGCATAAATTTGCGATAAAATGCAGTTCGGTTCTATTTTAGTTTACTCTGAAGCAAAACGGCACTGACACTACATAAAATTCAGTAAACGCACATTCAAGAATATAAAATTTTAAATTTGGTCAATGGGTTACTGAGAAAAAGTTGTTTTGGAAAATTTAAACATGTACGTGGAGGACAAAATTCAGTTGGATTCTTCCGTCACCATATTCAAGTCAAAAAGGAACCTGAAGAAAGTTTTTGTAATTTTTAATCTAAATAAGTGAAGGATCTCTGAAATGGAAAGGGATAACACTAGAGATCCCTTTTTTTCTCGCGTTGTTTTCAAGATATGTACACAGCTTCCGAAAATTTTAAAGATACAGTATTTTAAAAAATTTGGAATTGAATTATATTTGAAGGTACCAAATACAGAGTGAAACAGTTCACCAGTTCTGCATTTATGTCGTCACCTTTCCAATTTAAAAATTCTGGGGAAATAAGGTGAAGTGGGGTAAAAAATTGTTTCACAAGATACTGCTATTTCAAAAACAATATTTGATGTGTTTGAGAAGTTTTTCCACCATGTATACAGGGTGTCAATGATAAGTTTGGCCAAACTTCACTAATTTTACTAATAAAAATAATTGAAGCTGATAGGAACTGGATAGGAAGTTAGTGTTAAAATTTGCAATTTTTTTATTTTTTCTGTAACACTTATTGTATTGTTTTTTCAAAAAGTAGTAAACAAGATACAATGTTAAAAGTAATATTCCAAGTGTTTTCAAATTGCTCTGTTTAATTATAATTTATATAATTTTATTGATATTCTCTTAAATTCAAAAATTTCTCTCCTCAATTAAATCGGTTATGATTAAAAGGGACTAAGTGACAAACCAGCCATTAGAAGTGTTATCAACTTTCTGGGTTCTTCAGGCCAAAATACATGAGTTATTCCTAAAAGGAACTGTGTGTTAAAGATGCATATGAATAATATTACCCTATTTAAAATATGTATATTTTTAAAAGATACAATGGGCGTGCACTTAGTTCCTTTTAAAATTGAAATTTTAGATTCGTGGCCAAAATTTTATAAAAAAAAACTGTGACCGCTGAAGAACCCCAGAGAAAAGTTGAACAAGGATGCAATAAAGCAAGCTTCTGTATCAATAAAATGCATCACATTATTCACGAAAAACAGAAAGCTGGCTATATTAATCATCTGCAGCAATCAATGGACTGGTGTACAGTATAGACTTTTTATTCCGAACTAATTAAGACACGGGCTTAAAGAGATAACTTCGAATTACCGATATTTTCTGATTACTGGATAGTAAATATGTACATACGTAAATATGTTTATGTACATACATATAATATGAATTAGGTTTTATGTATTACTGAGAAGGCAAAAAATAACAATAAAACCAAACATTATCGTAAAATATGTTTATGTGTTCATTAAAAATAAAAAAAGAAGACCAATTTATTTAGAATATCCACTTTTTGCAAAAGGGTTAACGTGAGATGCATTCTTTTTTGCAGCATGTTTGCACTGCAATTTCAATTAAAAAGATCTAATCGAGAAAGGTTCCGACTCGTATAAAAGGGTTTTCCCGAGACTGCCGGGAAATTACGTTTTTAGCGGTTACTTATTATTATGTAATCCGACTCTTGCTATAATCCGAACTATATACATTAAACCGAATTTTGTTCGAATTAAAGAGTTTTGTTCGGACAATCGAAACGGGCATTCGTCGGGCCGGATTAGTGGATATTTGGATTAAGTGAGTTCAGATTAAAGAGTCTACACTGTATTATAATTTCAAGCTGTATCTCCCAAAAAAGCAGCATAATATGTATTTCAATGCCTGTTACACCATCTTATAGAAATAACTGTGCTCCCATTCTGGACACAAAAATAGAACACGTTAAGAAGCTTATTAAGTGGGTTGATGAAGAAAATATAACGTTTTATCAAAATTTGATAGAAACTGCAGAAACTAAAGTTAGAACAAACAAAATACATACAAAATAGACTTATAAGGGTATTGCTCGTCATTTTTTCTTACATTACTATGTATATCTCGTTATTTTTTCAATAAAACTCAAGTTCTGAGATCTAATGAGTATGTTTGATCCATTTAGTACCTATTAAAAGGGCCTAAGTGTAACTTTTACATAATTTTTTGTATCATCAAATGAATAAAAATTTATAACCTGTCTCTTGGAACTGATAAAAGAAGATTTAGTGCTTGTTTCGAAGTTAGTGTAAATTGCAAAAAACCTACAGAGTTCTAAAAATACAGTTTCTGTTAGTTTTCTGAAAATTGCCAAAATGTTGCTTAGTTCCTTTTAATAATAACCGATTCAATTGTTTTAGGATCAGCCAACTATATGAACGTTTGTTGTTTTTGTCACAAGTCGATCGGGAATTATAATAAAATGCTTTAAAATTTTTCCCCAAACAAAAAGGGATACCTTGCCACCCTAGGCAAATAGAATATATTTCAAAAATCATTTATTCACAGAATAAGCTCATATTAAAAGATATAATCTCCTTCAATTTTTATAACATAATCTGTTTTGGTATTAAGAAAAAATTTATAAAATTAACATCCTGATGTGGATCAAAAATGTTTATATCCAATCCCAATTATTTTCATCAGTAGAATCGTAAGTGAAGTTTGGCCAAACTTATCATTAACACCCTGTAATAGGTTGTTCTACTATGGCTTTAATGAATTTTATTTGTAGCGCTAATAGATGTAAACGTCAATAGATTTGACTGGGTGCCATAGTAAAAAGAAAAAAATGTTAATAAATGATTCTTTGCGCGAAAAGGGTTCAGTCAAAGGGTTAATTTTATCCTAACTAGAAATAACATCTCACACTGAAACTGCACAATAATCATTATACCACATTAAATAGTTTACTTTTCGAAAAATTCTGTTTTCGTTATCAAATCTTTCTTTCAAAAGAAACTTTGACTTTTAAGTCAGTTTGAGAATGGAAATTTTTTAAGTGAAAACAAAGTTTTTTTAAACGTAAACTGTGTAATGTATTAGTGATTATTGTGTCAGGAAAAATTTGCTACTTTCTCAGTACGAGATAATATTCTGATTCAACAAAATTTATAAAATCAACTCTGACTGATTCTTTTGATTATTATTTTTTTCCTTTGGTGTGGCACAAATACCCATCCAAAAAAAAAGTGTCACTGAGTATGCCACAAATAAATAATTGCAGACAATATCTTAGTCAACAGATCTCTAAAACTTTGCGTTTCACCAGCGTTCGTACTGGTAACAAAGGACCCCACACAAAATATATGGAAAATGGTCTTTCGGTAAATCTTGCTGAAATTTTGCAGAGAGGTAAGTTTCAGCTTGTTGAACAAAAGTGAAATATACGAAAAAAGCTATTTTGTTTAATCTTGCTAAACACAGGTCAACATTTGATCCACAATGAAACAACCCAAAGCGGCCTGGTCCTTATAGGGTTTTTGGGGTCGCTGATTACGATGAGTAGGTCAGAAAAGCTCCATCATATCAGTTTCAAGGTCATTTTAAGGTTATTTCAAGGTCATTTGAAGGTCAAGTAGAGGAATAACCGTCAAAAAAAATCTGAAAAAAATCATACGTATGTTTTCGAGGTCCCTAATCATGAAACTGTAGTTCGTTTGACCCCGCAGCGACTCCCAGGGGTCATTCAAGGTCATGCCAAGGTCATTTTGAAGGTCAAGTAGAGAACTGATCATCGAAAAAATCTGGAAGAATTCACAAATATGTTTCCGAGGTCACCGGAGGTGACCGTCGGCCATATTGGATCCGCCATCTTAGATTTGGAAACTATGAAAATCTAACTTCATATTCGCGATCAGCGACCCTGAAAACCCACCGAGTAAAAAAATTCAAATAAAAACATTGAGTAGAAGAATGCATGACTGATCGTCGGCCATATTGAATCCGCTATCTTGGATTTGGATATTCGCGATCAGCGACCCTGAAAACCCCCGAGTAAAAAAATTCAGACAAAATATGCTGTACTATGACTCAAAGGGGTAACTGACCTACTCATCGTAATCAGCAACCCCAAAAACCCTATAAGGACCAGACCGCTTTGGGTGTTTCATTGTGGATCAAATGTTGACTTGTGTTTAGCAAGATTTAACGAAATACCTTTTTTCATATATTTCAAGCCTCACAATGGCCTTGGGTGAGGTTTTTTGATCATGAAATTGAAAATTTCAGCAAGATTTACCAAAAGACCATATTCCACATATTTTGTGCGGGGTCCTTTGAATTCTTCATTATTCCAAATTAAAAAAAGGTTTTCACCATATCTACATTTTTTTCTGAATCACCGATTAACCACTCATTGCAAATTCTATACGCTTTGTTCTGTTACTTGAGCTTCATAGATAAATTAGAACGGCAGCATTTGTTGTGAGGCAATTAAAATAAACATAAAACATTTGCTAATTTGAATCAATTTTAGCTCATTCGATGAAGGAAACGAGGAGGATCTTTTATCGCAGCACCTCGACGGTGCTTTGGACGAAGACGGCCAAGAAGAATTGTCAGAGGATAGTGACGAGTGTAGTATTTAGCATAAGTAAAAAAAAATGTTTGATATAACATCACATTTTCTAGTCGTAATGACGTTCAAGTATTTCCACACGAATGGATATTGATAGAAATGATAGATATTTTTTTTATCTAGTGTTAATAAATATATATTTGTTTTTATTTATGAGGCACCATGTTAATTCTAAAGAAATGCAGGTTAGATTTAAAATTGATAGACTTAAGGAATTGTACCCTAGCACAAATATCTAGTGTGATCTTTATATTTGATGAAAAGTATTTTGTATGTAATTGAACAATTGTTGTCTAGTATTAGCGATAGGTAATGTTTGTTATGTATTCTTATAGCCATTATTAGAGGAAAATGAATATCTCATCCTTTTCTCGACGTGCTGAATTTTATAATCATATTTAAGACTAATTATTGAATCTCGGTTACATGGTACTCTTAGAGTAACTGATTTCTATTATTAACAAATAATCATTAGATATTTATTTGCAAATGTTTTGTATGTAATTGATAGCTGACTGCAACCTAGCTTTAGTACGCAAACATGATATTGAATCGTTTTTATTCGGTGACTTTTTTTTCACTACATTAAGCAGCTAATTAATTGTTGGAATTGTATAGTATAGTTTATTTAACAACCATAACTTTATAGTATGAAATCACTAGTCATTTTTATTATATTCATACTTATTTATCAGTTGTAAAAGTTGTTTATTATGTAGATGACGTAATATATTGGTTTTCTCTTATACTGTTTTATTTATATTGTATTTACAACTCTATAATAAAATTTTACCAAAATTAATTATATCTTCTTTATTCCACACAATTTTATGGAACGTTGAATAAGTTTTCGCTGTTTTCCAACAGATGGCGCTACCAGAACTGCAAACTTGCAGTGTAAGGTGGTAACGCACCTATAAAGAAGTACTTACTATAAGCAAGCTTGAATTTCAGAGTATTTACAATCATATACAGGGTGTCCCACCAGGAACTGCATGGATTGATATCCAGGAAAGTACTGCTCCGAAAAAATTGAAAATTTGGGACGAACACAACTAAAATATCTAGAACTCTCCAGCACTTTTGGTTATACCGGGAGTCGACACCAACTTCGTTATTTTAAATGGGACACCCTATATATTATTGCATTTTCGTATTCTATGTGAAAGGGTCTAGCAGGATAAAATAAGGTCGGCGGCCCCAGATAGGTATTTTGAAAATGACTTGTGTGGTAACATCGGCAAGATATAAATCTACCATTGACACAAATCAGCCTCGCATCTCGCTGCGTTCTGGTGATAATTGATCAAATAGGCACTAGAGCGGGTATTTTTCAAAACTGTTTTTTTCGAAAACTATTGCAGCTATCCTAATGAAACAAAAACTGCTTGTTAGACAAAACATTAGTCTACATCATATATTTTTTATAGAATTTTTTGTCTTATTTACTATTAAAAAAAAATATTTTTTTTTCTAGATTTTATTCATAGTTCACTCAGAGGTACAATCACAGAAAAAATATATAATGTAGCTTACTATGTCTAGTATTACTACCAAAAAGTGCATAAATATAAAATGGGTGCAACACTATCAAAAAAAATTAAAACTTCTTATGACCATATTAGGTGGGACTGCCTAGCCCGGTGTCTGGGCCGGCGGATTTCGATCTGCCGAATCAAGCATTACGGACGTGGGCTGGAATTTGGATGGGTGACCTAAGGCAGACTCGGGGACGTGGCTTTGGCAGCCTACCAAGAGACCTGGGTCGCCCAACATTTGCCGCACGCGTGTCTTTCCCGATAAATGGTAATGAGAACAGAGCAAGAAATCTCTGTAACTCAAGACCATGCTATCATACATAAACTGTACGAGACTGCCACCAAGCCACCTGCGCAGTAAATAGGATGGTTTGAAGAAAAGTACTCGAGTAATGAAGGAGGGTGTACAAGGGGCCTAATAAGGCCTAAATGCCGCGGTAGAAGACAATTCCACCACACCTCCGACATACATACATACATACATGACCATATTAGGTACTACTGATTTCCCATTTGTGACACCATTATCATCTGTTTGCTACTCAAAAATATATTAGGTAGCAGTTAAAAATGTAAGGAAGACTTTGATTTTGACATAAACAGATGAAAATTGTTTGTGGAACTACAACGTTTTTGGAGAACAAGACGAAACCTGTCGCTTTCCAGCTAGTCGCATGTGTGCATTGTGATTTGTTTACCTATCATTTTTATATGTATGCCAAAGCCAGAAATATGTTTCTTTCAAACTTACTGTAAGTTTGAAATATCAACATTACATACAGGGTGTCCCACCGGGAACTACGTCGATTGATATTTAGGAAAGTACTGCTCTGAAAAATTTGAAAATTTGGCAACATAGCAACGTTCCTAGGGCGAACACAACTAAAATATCTAGAATTCTCTAGCACTTCCAGTTATACCAAAAGTCGACACCAACTTCGTTATTTTAAATGGGACACCTTATATATTCTTGCATTTTTGGATTCTACGTGAAATTTGAGGGTCACTTTATTAAATATTCCCTATACCTACGAGTTATATATTTTGAGATATTAATTTTTAAAGAAAAAATTTGACAGATGCCAGGGTCCGCGGAGATGCTAGTAACTCTTCAGGAGTGTGATGTCAAGTGGATTTTTGGTACCTGTAAAGGGCATAGGTAACGCTAAATTACTGGTAACCAACAAATTACAATATTACAATATTACAAATACAGTGTACATTAACAATGGGAAAATCGAAAGCTGAAGATACTACATGTGAAATGATGACCATTTCACGTGTAGTATCTTCAGCTTTCGACTTTCCCATTGTTAATGAATCACCCTGTATTTGTAATTGTAATATTGTAATTTGTTGGTTACCAATAAGTGAAATGGTCATCATTTCACATGTAGTATCTTCAGCTTTCGATTTTCCCATTGTTAATGAATCACCCTGTATTTGTAATATTGTAATTTGTTGGTTACCAATAATTTAGCGTTACCTATGCCCTTTACAGGTATATATTTTAAATTTCATTAAAAACCGCAACGTACAAGAATTGTATTCAAACGTATGGATAGCTTTGAGAATATTGATCACTATACCTGTAACGGTAGCGAGTGGGGAAAGGAGTTTTTCTAAGCTGAAGCTGATAAAAACTTATCTGCGATCGACAATATCTCAATCTAGGTTAACAAACTTGGCAACTTTATCAATCGAAAATGATATTGCAGAAGACATCGACTTCGATGTCTTAATAAGAGAATTTGCCGATAGAAAGGCTAGAAAAGTAAAATTTTATTTGTTTAATTGAAATTGTGTTTTTAAAAAAAACATTTTTTTTTTATTTTTTCCACGTTTAAATTGGTCAGTAGAACGGGGGCGCCGATAAAAATTTGGCCCAGGGTGCCGGTCATGTTAAAACCGGCACTGTTGCTGAGCGGAATCTCCCATAGGCTATAGTCACTTCAACTCTGAAACACCCAGTATATGTGCTATTTATTTATAGATGGCATTTCTAGTATATTTAAAATTAAAATCTTAACGAAATAGTATTAAATATTTGAAGAGATATTTATTTGAGACATTCTTGATATTTTGAAAAAGCTTTTGCAAAATCACGTATTTTATTCAGAGTGCAGAAGTATTTGAAACATCAATTTTCATCTTCAACTTTATTGTGTCTCAGTCACGTCCCCCAAACCTTTCTCCCTCCAAAACCTTTCAATCCTTCAGTTTTCACTCATTAAACCGTCACTAATCAAACTTACAAATTAAAATGGAGGAACACTATCGACCAGTAACAACATGCCATTTGACATAAACTATATTGCGGGACTAAAAACTGTCCACATGTTTATTTTATAAAGATTTTATTTAATAGTTTATAATTTATATTATAAATAAAATAATATACTTTTTACTTATCCCATAATCCCAACTCTTTCATCTTCGTTTGAAAATACTGCTGTAGGTGTTCCGCACTTTTATAATATTCGGTTTCGGGTAAGTTGTACATCTTGCAATTCGTAAAGATCCTCATCATATCTGCTATGAATAACCTCCTCGAAACGTAGTATCTTGATTTTAGTCTCTCCATCATGGTCTTCAAATCTGAAAATAACAGGCATCTTTAACTTATTTCAAAATATGGAACAGAAGCTTATTATTTTACTTACCCATTGGATATTTGATATGGTCATAATAGTCAATAACGACTTTTTTATCGACAGGTTCTCTAAAAGGCCAGGAATCGTCATGATTTTTTACCTAAAAAAAATGTTATTTGCAATTTATATGAAAATTAAAAAGGTCAGAATATTTGGCTTGCAACCTTAAAAAACTTATGTTTCTAATTCATATTTAAATTTGAAAAGGAACTATTAGTCATGAATAATAGCCAACTGTTAACTGTTTTTAGTTAACAGTTGGTGGTGTTACTTCTAGTTCGTAAAGACTACTTCAAGAAAACAACCAAAAATGCCATAAAAATTCCACATTATAGAAGAGTTATTTACATACAGCATTTAACACTATTTTCAGCATCCCTGCTAAGACATCGATATCTTGAGACTCCTCCAACTGTTGACCTCTTGTGGTCCTGGAGGCTGGTTTCCATCCGGTTTCCTCTATACCAGGGATGGATTCTATAGGAATACTTCTTACACCTGAAAGGGAAAGATTTCGGAATATGCATAGGATTTTCATATGTAGACAGCAACTAAATTAGTATCGTACAGAGCGTCTACATAGTCGATATTGATTAAAAAATTCAGCATTTAACGTTTTGGGGTAGGAAGCCCTTAAAAATCGGAGAAATTTACTTAACTTACTAAATGAATCATAGTCTGAATATACAGATATGTGAAATTTAAAAATAATATTTTATCTTGCAGCGAACAAAAAATGTTCAATGTTCGAAGAGTACCTTTTTGCAATACTTAATAATTTTTAGTTGTTTAATTTTTCTGAAAACTGCGAGAACAAAAGTATGTGATGCATTTTCTAAACAATAAGAGCCATTAAGGCTTTTGGTGCATTAGAATTTCAATAATTTTTTCTTCATATATGTAGATTATTACGAATATGTACCAAATTTGAAAAAAAAAAATGTCGTAAGCACTTATACAATTATTTGCTGCACATAATTTTTGGATATCTTGTGTAGTGAGCAAAGGTTCATGAACTGAATTAAAAGATTGAGTTGTTCAAAGTAAATTTAACACAATTTTGCCTACACAATGCCTACAGCAACTTTACAAACAATATATTGTAGCGAGAATCATCCTAATGTATCTTATTACATTTATTTACATATTACTCTATAATGTTTTTAGAAATTTTGAAATTTAATGAAAAATATATAAGGTCGAGTTAATGTGCAGAGGAGAGTTTTTGAAGGTAAATTGTAATTTTGGTATTGGGAAAACTCAATGCTGTCAAATTTTGTGAACAAAGTTTTTATCAAAAATAAAGGAATTTGATGCAATACATTCAGGATTATTTACAACTTAACGAAAAAACTTAGGTCATATGCACCGTTAGAAATGAAATCACCAAAAACGTTTTATTATTTAAAAAAAACGAAATGGACCATCTTAAAGTAAAGTTTTCAAGCTTCAAAAATTGCTCCTGTAAAGTTGCAATATCATATTTTGAACTAAAGTTATTGGACTTTGAAACGTGACCTAAAAAATCAAATTTGCCTTTTTTAAAAATTATTGAATATTTCGAGCATTGTAATTTTTTAATTAAAATTTTAAGATTGATTTTTTTTATATCACTCACTATTTTAAATGCTATTTCAAGAGTATTCTCTGAGAGTTTTAGATTTTTATCTTAAAAATTAAAAAAATGGCAGATTTTTAATTAATTTTGTAGAAGATTCTACCGTTACGTAACTTTATTTACACACTATTCCTGTAAATATTTTTTTCAATTTTAAAATCATGATAACGTCTTAGCTACAAGATTCCTCTTTCATTTAAATTTTTGTAGACTTAATTTGATCAAATAGATCAATAGTTATAACAAATTTTTACATTTTCATACGATTTAAAAAAAATTCTACAACCTACAGTTTTCATTCTAGAAAATAACTTTATATACATTTTTCATGTAAAATTTGCCATTCAATTGGCGCAATTACTTAAAAAAAAAATTGAATTTGTAAAGATATATAATAAACAATGGAATTTTGCAACTAATTTGTTAAATAAATAATCAAGCATACACTCTAAGGTTGGTAACTTTTTATATGTCGTTTCTAACACCTTCACAAGTGCGTCCTCAAAAGTTACCTGATCTGCTAATTTTTCCAAAGTCAAAATTTTATTTTACTCCACTAGTATTACTGTGGTTTTGATAATGCCCTTATTACCTGGTCTATTGTTTTAATGACACATCGTATTTTAGCAATTGAGTAACACATCTTAAATACTGCGGAAGAAAATATCTATATAAGCACAAGGCAAATTGTTCAACAAGTGCCTGAAGTGTCCCAGTCAACAGTGTTTCAAATATTAGACGAGGCTCAAATTTTTCCCTATAATACATGGTCTGTGTCTAAGTCATTATCTGTTTAGATATTGCAATTGGCTGTCACAACAAAATGCTCAAAAATGTGACAAGTAATATTCACAACAAACATGTCTGAGAGCTTAATATAATCCTGTTGAATCGCATACAGATGAATGAAAATGATCTGCTTAGACTTCTCCCTTCGAAAATGAATGCTGTTCTTGCAAGATGGTGTGATTCCTCCTTTAACCCTCTCTAATTGTTTTTATGAGGAAATTTAAAAAATGAAGTGTTTGTCGTTAATTGGAATCTATGGATGATTTTGATAAACATATTACAGCTGCTGCCAATAATTTATTACTACAAGGTCAGAAAGAAGAAGGAATACTTGTCTTTGTCAAAACTGGATGAACATACTGTGCAAAACCATACTTATCATATCAACTTGGACGTCACCTGTTACGTGGGTGTTGTATAATAATGAAAACGTAATATTGTCAGTTGGTAGAAGGAAGCGCAAAAACAAGCGCTTATAGGTGGGGAATTCTGGAAGGAAGCCTAGATAGTTGAGGTGAGAACAGCGTAGAGTGAAAAGTAAGACGATCGGCGGGCAGTGAGACAAAATAGTGAAAAATAAAAGTGTTTAACCCGTATTAATTAGCAGGTAATTATTCTCTAAGTACTTTGTTGTTAATTGTTCTATGTAATCTTATGATCGTGATGGTTATAGAAGTTTAATGATAATAATTCTTTGTATGTTTAGCCACCATTGCTTTATGCTCAAGGGCATATATTTTCTAAGGTAAAATTGTTACAATTATTATTAGCGATTGCTCATTATTTATTACATGTTAAAATATATATATATTGTCGTGACTGCCCAGATATTGCAATAACAACTCCTTTGTTTCACATTTAACTTGTTTTATCATGATTACGTTGTTCGAAAAACAAGTAATAAAACATTTCTTGTGCTCACTTTATGTCAAGACGCATATAAGGGCCTTGTTGAATTCACTAACATATTCGCCTGTGAGGAACGAATCTGAAAAAAAGAATAATTAAAAACAAAAAAGAATTGCTAAAACAGATCTTCCGAAATCTCAACTATAGCTGGATTGCCTCCCGTTGGGACTCCAGTACCTTCCGGCCCTGCCGGCTAACTAACACCAAACCTCTTCAGTTTTACTTGGAAGTGTGTATGTCTAATTCGAGTGAGATGACATTTAGTGAGAAATTAAATAAGTCAGGTGTTATTTATCAGTAGCAAAGGATCTTAATTTATGCCTTTTATTAGCGGTTGTTTTGTATTTATATTTGGGTAGTTAGAGCAACGATCGTGGGTTTCTCTGCCATGCTCTTTCCCAACAGGAGCTCTAGGTGAGCCTGGCACTCTCATTTTATGTTAAATGGTTATTAATGTTTTTGTTGTTCTTTCTATTTGTCACATGTTTAATTTCAAGACTGTTTTACTTAAATAATAAAGTTAGGTGTATTTACTCTGCTTTTGTTTTATAAAATTAAACCATACTTCCCCCCTTTAAGTTAGTAGCCAGCGCCTTCCGATCAATTAAAAATAGATGTATACAACGTAGGTATTCCTTATGACGATCACATATTTTTGGCCACAATTAAGTTTATTTTTCTTTTTTTGATCGAACCCGGGGTTGTTATACTACAATACCTAAACATGTTTGAGTTGGACAACAAAATTTTCAACTGTTGTAACATCACACAAGTGCTAACTTATTCCTAAATAAAGTACTAATAAACACTAGTCGGAAAACAACAATTAAATTCACTGAAATAAAAAGCTCCTTGAGTGGAGTTGTGAATTCAGGGCTTTCTTTTTAAAGTGAAACATTTTCATACACTAAAATTGAGAAATATAACAAAATCAAATAAACAATTTCATGATACGTATTCTATTTTATTCGCTTACCTTCTTTGAAAAACGTAAGCCCAGGATGCACCTTCGACACAGTTCTCTGCTGCTGATAAATCAGCTGTTTTGCAAACTTTTTCTGTCTCCTCACAATGCTTGTAAACTCGGTATATATAATTTTCGGGTTTAGTTCACAATGCATTAACGTCGCCCCTTCGTAATCTTTGATGTAACCCTGATAGATGGCTCTGTTTATTTTTATGTCCTTCGAGAATCCTTGCCTCTCAAAATAACCTGAAAATAGAAGTACAAGTGTAACTCACTTTTGTTTTATTTATTATATTTCATTTACGTAGAGAAGGCTTTGCTTTCTTTTTAAAGTTCATACTTACCTATGGCGTTTTGGTCAGCAAATGTCAAGAAATGCAGGATGCCTTTGGAAATATGGTAATCCTTCAAGTGGTTCATCAAATGAGTGCCGTAACCTTTAACTTGTTCTCTGGAAGTAAGGGCACAAAATACGATTTCGGTAAAGCCTTGCGTCTGAAATGGTCTGAAACATATTCCACCTATGGGACGATTCTCTTTAATCAAAGCTATTGTTCTATGTTTCCTGAAAATGACGTAAATTAATAATCGCAATTATTTGTTAATAAAAACGCTATGGATGGGGAGAAAATCTAATAAACAATCCATTTTTCTGATATCTTACGGATCGAAAAGCAGTTGGGTGATATACTCTATAGGCATTCTTGGTAACTGGTGCGAGAAGACATTTTGCAACCCAATGAGCCACAGCATTGTCTGTTTAGTAACAGGTTCAGTCAAACTATTTCCTACTACGTGCAGTTGTATAATATTGCATTTTTCTTCTAGTTTTGGTGTCTCGTCGGTTGGAGGAGCATTCTCCAAAAAGACCATCTGAAACAAAGCGTTATTTGATATAGTAATTCTTTAAACACACATCTCTTCATAAGCTAAGCCTTACATCTGGACCAGTCATATAATTTGGATCATCAATTGTAGCAATAATTTCTGCAACAGTGTCTTGCGGCATATCCTCAAACTGTTCATCCTGGGCGAGTTTCTTTCTTTTAGTCTCCCGAAGGGGTGTCTCCGAACTTCGACCCGGTTTACCTAAAAATTGTCAGATCCAGCAGAACAATAATAATTTTGAATACTTCGTAATGTCCAGGTCACAGAATTTATGAAAAAATTAAATTACAAAACTCTAATAAAACGAATTTATGAATATCTTAGAAGCTCAAATTACTATATGTCTGACGTGAATGGGCATAAAATCGTTTATAGGGTGTGCTACATTTCCTCTGGTGTTTCCTCAGAAAATAACAAAAATATTTTAAATCAGTGCTAGCATAGGTAGAGGAGAGTAAAGGATTCAACTTGGCACGGATATATTTTTTGTCTCCATTTTATCTTCAACTGTACTTCCTAATACCAAAAATTAGAAAAAATAGGTGCTTTACTTCATGAATTCAACTATTTCTTAGGTATTTAGATAATTTTGTATATTGTTACCTAATAGGCCCATTCAGTGATATATAATTTTAAACTTTTTCTTTCATTTTCTGATAATATTTAACCACCTAAATATATCTTTTAAAAATTAGGTCAACACTGTGGGAAAACAGGTAATGACGTCACGATACCGGCCACTCGGCGATCAAGTCGCGAGCAGTCGGAGAGATGTGTAGATATTTGCTATACTTTTACCTATATTATATACCTATATTTTTAAGTGTATAAATAGAGTGTATAAGAGTGTATATAAGTACATCAAGTCTTGTTGAAATGTATTTTTCACACAACATATTTATTATAAACATAGAATGACTTGGAATACCTAAATACATTTTCGGATTTTTCTCAATGACGTAAATGGTTCGCTTTTCTACATTTTCTTTTGCGTTCCATTTTTGTACAAATGTACCCAACATACTAGACTCGGTACTTGTGGATGTATGCAACGACGTGTATGTGCCAGTAGTACTTTGACTAGTATTTGAAGCAACACAGAACCACCCTCGTTTTTCTTTGGTTACCCTTCTAGGGGGTTGTAAATAATTATTATTTAAATAAAATGCTTATAGGTCCCTCTCGCCAACTTATTTCGAAATTTTTGTGAACGGGTACGTTTAGATGGGGTAGAAATCTTTTTTTTTGTTTTCGGCATAAATTTTAAAATTCTGCACTAAATATTCAAATAATAATATTTACAATCCCCTAGACGGGCAACCAAAGAAATACGAGAGTGGTTCTTAACTGCTTATAGGTCCCTCTCGCCGACGTATTTAGAATATTTTGTGAACACGAACATTTAGATGGGGTAGAATTTTTTTTCTGGCATAAAGTTGAAAATTGTGCTCTAAATGTTCAAATAATATTTTACAACCCCCTAGACGTACAACCAAAGAAAAACGAAGGTGATTTTGAGTTGAATACCGCGGCTGGGGAAACCGTGGATAGCATCACACACTTTTCATTTTTCGGTAATGAAATAAATATTTTATTCCGAGTCGATTCTGAGGTACTTTTGCAGCCTGGAACTATACAATATTTGTACAATCCTCGGTTTCGACCCATTTAGACATAAAAACAATGATTAACGAAACTGCCAAGCGAACCACACGCCGTATGTATTAACACAGAATGGGATAAGAGCGAGCGCGAGTGGAGTGCTCTGTCAGTCGCCCATACCGGTATTATGACGTCAGGCAATGGTTGCTCAATGTTTTTCCGTGCTCTGTTTTCATTAATTTATTTCACACATTTCTCGTTGAAACAAAAAATTGATTTTTGGCATACTAAATAATTAAAGAGTAAACTTTTAGAATATGCAAAAAAAATTCCACTAAATGGGCCTATTGCGATAATGATGTTCTTTTTATAATTTGCACAGTTAGATAAACATATATCAATGGGCTAAATTGTCATACATCTGTTCTAACCAGAAGTAAACTAAATTCTGTGGTTTTAAAAATGGAAAAATGGAAGAAAGCAGCAGATTCTCTACATGTTCTTGAAATTACTTTGTCACAATTTCCATAAATAACAAGTAAATTAACATAGTTAGTAGTATCATTAGTATAATTTAAACGATACTCAGGCATTTTTATGTAAATTTTCGGCAAAAACTATTCAGACACAACAATAATTTGACAACTAACTTGACAAATGTCATGTTATTTCAATTGTTTTTGGAGTGTTTCTGGTCCTGGACAATTTGACAGCAGGTCTGATACGAGAAAAACTGTCCAAAAAAGAGAAAATTGCAAATATCTCTAAAACTAGTAACGGCAACCATAACAATGATCATATGGCTTGAAAGAAAATTTCAATCTGCATACAATAGAGTAAAAAAATACTGTGTGTTCCATTTCAGTTAACAAAGTTATAACTGTTTGAAGTTATCAAAATGTAACAGCAAAAATGAAACACCTAGTACTAAATGTTTTAATTTGTTTGTATACCATAATGTAGTGTTATCTATGCCCTTTACAGGTACCAAAAACTCACTTGATATCACGCTCCTGAAAAGAGTTACTAGCATCTTCGCGAACCCTTGCATCTGTCAAATTTTTTCTTTAAAAATTAATATCTCAAAATCTATAACACCTAGGTATAGGGAATATTTAATAAAGTGACCCTCAAATTTCACGTAGAATAAGAATATATAGGGTGTCCCATTTAAAATAACGAAGTTGGTATCGACTTCCGGTATACCTAACATGAAGTACTGGAGAGTTCTACATATTTTAGTTGTGTTCACCCCCAGGGACATTGCCATGTTGCCAAATTTATAAATTTTTCGGAGGAGTACTTTCCTAGATATCCATCAACGCAGTTCCCGGTGGGACACCCTGTATTTGAAATTCTTTCTGTATACGAGTCATCCATTTGATCAAATGCATGCTATTTGAAACCAACGAGAACCAAAGGTATTCAAATTCTTCTGATTTATTTGGTACACTAAATAAGTGGTTGATTTAAATTCAATCCAATATTTCTCACACTCGTGAACTCAACATCTCACACGATTTTTGATAGTCTGGCAACTACTGAGGACTAAAAGTATTTGAGTACTTTCAGCAAGGATTCGACAACAGAGAGTACATTCAGGAATCAGGTAGTACTGGATTTTTCATTCGAGTTATCCCATCACCACTATTAAATACATAATCTTTAATATAACTCATGTAATGTCGCTCATGTAACCTTACTGATAAACTGTAGGAAGTAAAAATATCTACAAGTATGAAAAATATTTTTAAGCCAGTTGTCTTACTGTCCTTTAGCTATGGCTAGTAGTGACTATCTTTCACTTTCTAAGGAAATGCCAATGGGAATGTTACCGCAAAGAAAATTTAATTAATCCAAATTCATTTACATTATGGAAAGGCAACTTTGATCCGATTAAATTATAAGTAAATTTATTATAAAGTAACTGTAAACTGTAACAATCATTTTTCATTAAATATACTTAGTTTATACATGAAAAAATAGGTACCAGGGGTCTTTATGGAATGCATAACATAAACATAAAGTTATGCATATTAAAAAATTATTCTTCAATGTCTTAACTTGCATGCAATAAATCATGTTTCTTTACCTGAACTTAAAGTAATGGTTGTGAAACCCTCCCTATCACTTTGTCCTACAGTTACTTTCTCAAATTCTCCCTTTTTTGGTGCAACTGCACCAGCTATGAACAAAATAAGAAATAACAAAAACCAAAACTAAACAAAAGATATAAAAACTTTACATATAACAACATATACCATAATTATTAATCTTACTCCTTTGAACTACTTAAGAAAACAAAAATATAAATACTAAATCATCCTACCTTTCAATCTGTCTGTGTCCAGGAGAGACTGGAACTGAATCGACTGAGCCTTGAAGTCGACATCCCATATTGGAGAACTGGCTGCATAGATTTCCTCATCCAATTGATTCAAAAACGGAGGAAAATTTGTTAGTAACAACAATCTTCTCTCTTGAGGCATGCTGTCTCTCTCCCTATGAAACTGGTCCATCACTTGTTTCCTGATGTATTTGAATACTGCTCGTAGTAGTGTTCTTCCAAACACCATGGTTGTGTCATAGTGTGGAAGCGAATCGCAAAATGTTGGCACATGACAGAAAACCAACCACCTAGAATTAATTAAATGCTCTCGGAAATACTCCAACATTTAAATAATGTTCCCAAAATGACTATAAATAATCAAATAATGTCTGAAGAATAACATACATTATATATATATCTTACTAATTAAATTTGCAAATTATTTAAACTGTATGAAAAAAATCGCAGGAACAACCAAAGCTACAGGGAAATTCCCCTCTGTGATTCAACAATAATCTTGTCACTAAAAAAAGAGTCTACACTAGATCACATACTTTTAAATCTAGTGTTATCTTCTGTGACTATGTGAAATACACAAATATGCTGTCTATATTCATGAAAAGTTCTCGTATTATTATAAAAACAAAGTCAAAGCTAACATTCTGCTGCAAATCACAAATAATCATTAGTTGTTGCTTTTTAATAAACGATAAAAATGCATGTAAGTCACGTTGGAAAAACAAAGAAACGTGGAATGTATAATTTACTCTCGCACCTTAGTAGTTATAATAAAAAATGGGAATAATTTCATTATTTTAATAATTAGATTATCAGGTTATGAATAATTCCAATAATCGGACAATAATTCGATATATATTTCATTTGGAATTAGAAACAGGAAAAATAAGTGTGATTATTTACAATTGTACTTATCTATTATTATTTTTAATCATCAAATCAACTAAGCAAAGTAGTAATGCTACCAGATTCAATCGTCATTTTGAAAAAAAGGTATCATTTATAACAACACTTTTAAGGTATCCAACAGTCTGTAACGTATGCAGTCAAATATCAAATATCCACTGTTCACTGTAATTCGAATTACCGGAGATAATAATTAAATTTTTCAGTTTATGTAATAAGCAGATTACCTACCAAATAAGTTTTCATTTGAATTACCCTATTACTAATTACAGTCACTCACCTTGTATATTCTATTTTATAAATAGTGGCTTCTTCTTGACTAACTATATGTTTTTGACTGCTAGGAGATGGAAAATCCCATGTATTCAAGCAATGAATTAATATTTTTGATAATTCATACATCGTTTTCAATTCTTTCTGGCCAATATGAGAAAATTTATAAACCAATAGGTTTGTGATGCCTGTATGTATAGAAGGTCTCTCAAATGGAGGTTGGCCTAGGGGTCCCTCAACTACAGGCGTATCGAGAGTTAAAAGACATTTTCTTAGCAGCTAAAAAATGTTAGTGAAGCATTGTGTCATATAACATATGTTACGTTTATAATTTGTCACAAAAATAAAATTGTGGAACTATTAATGAAAACATAAAATCAGTTACTACCTTAAATAAATAAAGGTACACTTTTTTCGTTTCAGGATTTTCTTCCCAATTCATGGCTGTGTACAAATTATCTACATCGACTACCATTCCTAATAATCGGTTCAATTCGTCCTCAGGTTTATCCTTCAAATGGGATATGTGATTTTCTGGAACAAGCATCTTGCTTTCTAAAACTATTACTAGTAATAAAAATTTGACATACATACCCAGTATGTGTTCACATCTGCATGGGTCTGTAAAGGTAGGATTTTGTAAAGTACTGTCAATTTTTTTCCAACCAACACAATCACATTTTTCGCCCTGTAATATACAAAAAAATAATTATATGCAAAAATGTTATGTAATATAAATAATTGTGAGTACCTGACATTTGGAATAAATGGCAAGTTTCAAGAGTTTCTTATTGTATGGAAATGCTAGAACGGCCTGTTTCTTCTGTTGAATTTTCTGCAAATTATTCAAAGGAGAAGCGTACTGATCTGTTTTGTTGGCTGGATTTGCTGTGGTACTTTTCTGTCCTTGGTTTGAATGTTCTGGAGCACTTGCACTTGTTGACGATGTATCCATCACTTCGTTTACGTGAGCAGACATTTTTACAATGTACTCTCAAATTTTTTAATATCCTTACTCAATAATATAAACATATAGTATTGCGATTTGTATATTGTATTTCCTGGAAATTAGAATGTAAAACCAATAAGGCTAATATACCTCCCACTTTTTTGGATGCTTCATTTTAGTTTAAAATGGGGACCATGCAATAACTGGTCATAGTAACTGTAACTGCAAACAATTCGATTATAATTTGAATGTGTTTGCTAAAATAAAATATTTGTTGTTAAACAATTAACATAATATTTACAATAAATTCTGAAAACAGAAAATTATGTCAATTGTCAAAATTTCAAACTTCTCTCATACTAGCCAACCAAACAAACATAAATGTGCAATTTTATAGCCAACATTAAAGTAATTATTTAAATGTCACTAGAACAAGATTCCTAGATAAGCATTTATTACATATTTAGACTTAAATTTACAATCAATTCTTTATGATTCATGATTCACATATACTATTGCCATTAATATAATTTTATTAATTATTGTTAATATCTTCCGTTCCCATTTACACCTCATAAGACAGTGGCGTAGACAAGAATTATAAATAAGAGCATATGAGAGGAAATAAACAGTAAGAAACCATGACAATGACAATAAACCCTAGATTAGTGAAGTATACAATAAACCCAGCTCATTTTAAAGTCAATAGACAGATAACGTTATATCTGTAACGTGTTTCCTTAAATTAATAAGTATTTTGTATTTTAATATAGGTACATTAAAGTACATTTCCAATTTTTTTTTTTTTAATTCCAGCTACAAATTCAGGACAAAGGAAAAAATTAAGAACAATTTTTGTGTCCTGTTAAGCACGAAAATATTCTTTGTCACCAATACTACATATTTTTAATAGGTAGAGAGGGTGTCATTGTTACTGAAAACACTTGGAAAATCGACAAACTCGCTTTACAGCAATGACAGCAAATCTGCTAAATAAATAATGACACTTGGTGATATTTAAATCTTTTTCCACAGCCAACCTACAGCTAACTATCGGATTATATTCGTCTCTGTACTTATGTTCAAATATCTCAAAATCGGATAGGGAATGCTTATACCAATGGAAAGAGAATTAACAAGTGCATCTACCGGCATTATAAAACACAGGGTGTTCTATTTAAAATAAGCGAGTTATTAAACTTTCAATTTGACACAATTGGTCCGAGTTTTTTAGACGCCCTGTGTAACATGCACCAACTTTCGAATACTCCAGATATTTGGACACGTGTTGGTATTGACCATCTAAAATGTCAGCTTCCTATCTTAAAAATTGGAGGAGATAGAACCGATTAAGTGTAGGTACGTTTTTTTCAAAAATTTTGAAAGAGTCAAAATATTTCAAAAACGATTGAGTTTAAGGATAAAGTAAGGTTATGAAACTTACCTTAAAATTCGATGTAGAATCCAAAAATTAAATAAAAAATAGTACATTCCATTTGAAATAAGCGAGTTGCCGTCTTCTTCCGGTAGAACCGGAAGATCCAGGACGACGCCAATATTTTTCGATAGAACATTAGAAAAAACCCCCGTACGTAAATTTTCAGAATTCCAATACGCGTAGTTTTCCAGAAACGTCTAAGTGAAGGTCTATCTGGAACACCCTGTATAAAGAAAATCACATTACAAATTTGCATCATTTATAAAGATTTTTATAAAATTACTACAACCAGGTGCTTTATTTTCTGTTTAATATGTCTATAAGCCAGACAAGAATGCGAAAAATGTTATTCAAGGGTAAACTTTTTTGAAACCATTCCACTTACCACTCCTTAATTAAGCCAGTTCTTGTGTGCTTGTAATGTTTTTTTTGTCATTTTAAAAATACCTCAAACGCGTTGAAGTACCTAATTTATAAACATAGATCAGTCACAGAAGATTTGAAACAAAAAATTGTTATAATTCAGAATTCAGATTTCTAATACTTAGAATAACCCGGTTGATCGATTCGGATTGTAAGAAGATAAGTATTTGTTTATTTATTGGAGGAGTTTTTTTATCAATTTTCACTTACCTACTGGCTTTAACAAAACTTTATAGCAATTTAATAAATACCAACCACATAATTTTGATAAACTATAATAAATGACAAATCTAGTTGTAAAAAATCTGAAAATTAAAAACAAAACAAGTTGAGAAAAAAAAATACAATTTCTCTGACACGATTAGTTTTTATCTCGGTTTTTGCTGTTCATTTTTTCTAGGTATAGGGCATGATGAATAAGTTCGTAGTATCTTTAGTTTCCATGGCAACAGTACCTTGGAAACATAGGTTTGACTTTATATTACCACATATGGAGCGGAGTCGAGCGGGATTATCGCTCTTTACCCACTTCATCGCTGTAAGCCCGGACGTTTCGTAGAGATAGGTACTTTCCCCTTTCGATCAGTTCATGGGACCTTCTCCTGTCCCGGCTGAATCCCGTCGGTAAAGGCCTTTTCTTCTGGCGCTTTTCTTTCTCCGCCAGCTCGACTGAGTAAACTCTCAGAGCTGTCGTGTGTGGAGCAGACGACTGGTGATGATTAGAGGCTTAGAAAACGCTGTGCTAAGATGGTCCTTAGGCTAGCGGAGAAGGCAGAAGGTAGGGGGAGATGTGTGTGTTTGTGTGTATGTAGTCGTATTCGGTTCTTGATTCTGGCGGTCCAAAAACAGATAGAAACATTTCGATTCACCCTGCATCAGAAGTTGAAGACTAAGTCGCCTGAATCAGCCTCTTCGGGTCCATCACGTTCTGGACCAGCGGGTTGCTGTGGACCTCGGAGCGTTCGAAAAGCTTTCTTACGCAGTGTCTGATCGCTTCCATGGCTGGCTTGAATCCCAGATACCGCTGCCTGCCCCAATGCGACCCCAGTATACGTCAGCTATGACTGTAATACTGCCCGGATGAAGGTTAGTTTATTCCGCAGAGACGACTGTCCCTGCACAGGAGCGGATAAAGCTTCGCCCTCACCGTCCTCGTTTTGCGCACCAATGTCAGCTCCATGTCAGCGTGCGATCTAAGGTTAACCCTAAATACTTGACGGTGGTGGCCCACTGGATGTCTTCCCCGTCGAGCCTCACCTGTCCCTGGGGACGCGTTTGGTACCTGCGAGAAAACATAATACTTGTAGTTGGGTTGACCTGCACCTTCCACCTGTTGCAGCAGTCCTCCCGTTGTCTCTGACGAGTCTCTGAGGGTCATGGGCGTAGGCAGGATTTCTGTTTGGGGTGAGCCTTGAGTAACCAGCTGGTCGCTCCTATTATTCCCCATTCGCTATATTCTCCTGATTTTACCCCATCAGATTTCCATCTCATCCGCTCTATATCAAACAGCCTTCGAGGAAAGTTCTTTATTAACGACATCGGGGTTCACAATTGATGAATTCTTCACTTCTGAATCACCAGATTTCTTCAGGAATTGAATAGAAAAACTGCGAGATCGTTGGAAGATATTTGTAAACAATAGAAGAGAATATATTATATTTACGAATATCTTCCAACAATTTGGCAGTTCTTCTATTCAATTCCTGAAGAAATCTAGTGATTTAGAAGTGAAGAATATATGATGAGTTCTTGCTTTTGTTTATTAAAAATAAATTCATTTGGAATTGAATAAAAAAACAACTATCATATGCGTCCACCCAATATTTAGATAATTGTAATTATGAATTTCAGTAAAATTCATGTAATGAAATAAGAGCATTAATAAAATGTATGTTGCTACTATAAAATATTGGTTAAAGCTACCAAAACTGGATCCTTTAAATTAATATACTATTGAGCCAACAATGATCCTTTATGTTATCCTTACCCCTTACATAGGGGTTGTAAATTGTTATCCAATTGTAGGTACCTATAGGTATTATGTTTTGTATACAGATGTTTAGTTGCTAATAGGACATTGTTCCTCAATTCTCTATATATGATTGTTATTGAGTAGTGAACAATATAAATTATACAGTGTCCCATTAAGAATGGCACATATAGTAGCTGTAATATGTAAAATAAAACAATAAAACAATTGAGCAAAACACACCTCAGAAAAATATCACTAATTAGAGATTAATTTATTGGTGCGTTTCCAAGTTGGTGTTAATTGGTGATAACTCAAAAACCTAATACATTTACAAAGTAGGCTTAGTTTGTTCATAACAATTGAAACAACCGTCAAAGTCTGTTTTTCTAGTTTAATTAATTTGTGTTGTTCATATTCCCTTTGATGCATTTTTAGTGGTGCTTTATTATGTCTAGACGTGTCTAGAAATGAGGGCTATTGAGGGCGTTATGTTTACACTAAAGAAGACTTTTGTGAATGTGCTGCAGCAAGACAATAATTTAAATTATATCCCAATAGCAGGCAGATACGACAAAAACTTTTTAAACATGACTGACTAGACGAAACATGGCCTTTTCGTTAAAAAAGTGCCGATGTATCAAGAAGAAGAAATTTTAACCCACGTAGCGGAAAATCTACAATAAGTACACGCCGCCGATTGTCTTCTGCTGTAATGGTATGGTCTTCAATTCCATGAGGAGAAAACCCGTTTCCTTATCATTTCATATGCGTATAACAGTTATCACTAATTGATCCTCCAGCTAGAGTACAGTTTTGTTAACTTCTTATAAATAACCATAATACTGACGTTTTGTTTACGGACAAAACTGCCTTTACCGCAGATAATTTTTTTATTAGCACAATAATCATTGATGGGAAACCTACATTTAACAAGGGACAGGCTATTTAAGCATGAATTTTCGATTAATGTTTGGCGTGGAATTAGGTATTGTAAATTGCCTACTCGGATCCTGGAAGCTTCCGTGTCAACTTAACTGATGCGACCTCCTACTTAATTTTTTTGGAAAATCACTTAGAAGTATAGACGATGACGATGTGCCTCTAATCTTGAGAAACAAGTTTATGCACAACGGAGCAGCAGCTCATTTTCAAAATCAAGTTCGTTTTTATTAAATTGCGCTACTTCCACTTTGTGGTGATTTGACGGTGGTAGCGAATTCGTGTGGGCACCACGCAGTTCCGATTTAAACCCTCTTAACTGTTTCTTATGGGTTTCATGTCGATAGTATACGAACCTCATCAATGTGCAGGAGGAACTCTGATTAAAGATACTGGAAGCTGTCAATTTATTAAAAAATGATAAAATAAAATGATGATGAGTAAGAAACCTATTTTAAGTTAGGAGAAATTTAATGCAAATTTAAGAAAATGTATTGACATAAATAAGAATATTGTGAAAATGTATTAGATTTAATATGAGAATTAAAATTTATAGCGCATCATAAGACTAGTGTTTGTGTTTGTTTTTCGTCATCAATTCACATGAGCTTGGTATTGCGCTATTAAATTAATTCACGTTTCTCTAAAACTTATTGTTTGTACATCATAATCATAATATCTAATAAAAATATTTAATAAAAAATATCTAATAAAGAATTTAATTTGAAAATTAGTTTACAACATTAAAAAGGAGATGTTTAATTTGTAATGTGCGGTTAATTCAACCCGACTTGCAAAATTCTGATTACGTTGGCTCCTCGTAGCTCGCTTCTACATCTGTAAAGTGTTTATAGCGGTGGTCATGATTACCGTAGTCCAGCATCAGTGAAAGACGGAGTGGGAGTGTCGCATATTTACTATGCAATTTGAGTTATCCGACTAGTCCGACTGTAACCAAATAATAGCTATTCACCGCTTTTTTTCCTTTATTAATTTGTTTAATGTGGTTAATTTTCTTTTACTTACATATTGTTACTTGTGTTTTTTAAATAATTGTAAAAATTTAAATCGATTGTAGTACTTGCAAAAAAATGATGCTGGAAATACGACACTTTAATGAAAAAGTAATTGAAAAGTTTATTTCCGACAAAAGTAGTATTTCAGTATACAGGGTCGGAAAGTCCCCATGGTTCATCGGCCGTAACGTGCGAGCGATAAAGAAAGTCATAGAAATCCGTGCGATAGAGAAAGATGGCTATAATGAAGGCGTCTAATAGTCACCGACCATTTCGCCCTTCCACAAATAAGATCCACTTCTTATTTGTGGAAGGGCGGTGACTATTAGACGCCTTCATTATAGCCATCTTTCTCTATCGCACGGATTTCTATGACTTACTTTATCGCTCTCCCGTAACGGCCGATGAACCATGGGCACTTTCCGACCCTGTATAGCACATGAACTAAAACTAGAAGAGCCGCTATTGCTAGAAAGTTACCATTTTAAAACTTTAAAGACAATTTTGTAATTTTCTGTGACTTCATTAACACCCTCGAGTAGTAATTAGAAAACCGTTACATGTCGTAATTTGTCATCTTTTAAAACGGATGTCCTAAAATTTTGAATATAATATCTTTAACGGTTCTTGAATAATCGCAAGAAATTGAGTGAAAAAATTTCAGATAAAACACCCCTATCGTAAGAAGTGACATTTTACCAAGGCAAGTTATGCCCAATTGTTTTATTTTGTGTCTATGTCCCATTCTTAATGGGACACCTCATATATGCAGTATTGGTTTAGTTTTATGTTCCATCAATTAGTGCGGCTTTATAATTAATTAAATGATAACCTACATGTTTTAAGTAATGCTTTTTTCTTGTCTAAGTATAAAGAATAAAGAAAAATTTAGAAATGATTATGATGTGGGTGTTTTTATTAGAATGTATCAAAACGCGACTGTGCCCCATTTCTTCATAATCTTTATTTTTAGCAACCACCGGCTTTCATGAAACTTTTTGCAGTAAATAGCCGGGTACAAGGTAGTTTGACGCTCCGTCCAAAGATGCCGATACGTGGGCAGACTGGGCTTAATATTTTCAGGTAAATCTGCGTGCGCACCTCCAGCACATCTCCGCCGAGATCGCGGCGGCGGGTATACCGCGGTTGGCTGCGACTTTCGGTGTTTTTCATTCAGTCAGTTGTTTTCAGTGTTGGAGTGCGTAGGTGCTGTCGACCTCTCACGTCTCCTCTCGATCGGTGGATCTAGCGTGTTACGCCGAGGACAGAAAACAAATCCGAAATGAATTTTAAGGGCCGATCCAGCTTCTTTTACATTGTTGTGGTGTGTTTCTGTGTTGTGTCTGCTAAAAATGTGGATAACGTCCGATCCAAAAGGACCGCCGGTTCGGAGAAGAGTTGCGACAATGTGAAGCAGTTCTTTTCTTTGAAAAACATCTCCGTATCATCACCTGACGGACCGAAAGGTAAGTTTTTGTTCGCGTTATTTGAAAAACGGGTGGACTAATTTGGATAATGATAATAGAGTGATAAACAGTATCTATAGATTCGCAAAATGTTTTTCACGACTATTCGAGGGCACAATTATTTTTTATTTACGTAATTCATTTAAAATTGTCCGTCTATTATTAAACCTACTGATAACATGGATATAGAAGTACTAGTAGACAGTAAACAAACATTGCCTATTGTTTTTATTTGAGTAATAATAATAATAATAATAATACAAACTTGGATCGCATGGAATGCTTTCTAATACTATTAATAAAATAATAATTCAAGTTACTGATAAATTTTATTATTATACCTATACTTAAATTAATTCTTCAAAGAAGTACCTACAAACATCATTTCGTGTCTAGCAACTTGACAGGTTGTCTTCGTTCGTCTTTAGACCAGCCTACGCTAGATCGGTTATATAATTTTTTCTTCAAACACTTCAAACTTAATCATGTGGAACAAGAAATGAAAATGTGTCAGCACAGAACGTTGGTTTTAGATTGGGCAAAAATAATTTTGTTTAGACTTGGAAGATATATACCTACCTACCTAGTCGGTGTTCCCCTTTTGAGAGATGCGTGGTGTCTACTTATATTTTAATTTATAAAATGGATGTATACATTTCGAATATTTATGCCAAAGCTATATTGGTTGCAGTAAGTTGAGTCGGTCATTATGGTTCAACTTTTTTAACTAAATTAACAACTTTTTAATATTCAATAAATAATGACTAACCGATTGATTAGTGTAGAATATGGCTGAAGTAGTTTTAAAATCTATCAGTAAGACGGTAAATAACCATAAAAACTTAACCAAAAGGAAAACCATCCTACCTATATGTTATAGCTGTTTTACATCGTCAATTTATTCATCGAATACGATTGACGAAGTTCTTCATCAATTAATTCACGAATTTATTGGTAAACAGTGTGGTTTTACACTGCTACAGACTGTCAAGTTTTTTGACGTATGAATCAGTTCTACCAACGAATCAAAGAAGCAAATAAATTTCAAAAATGTCACCTTTTCACTCATAATTGTAGTGATACAACAGCGGTACCGTTCTGACACATATTATATAAATATTAGTTTTTGTAAGTAACAAATCAGTAAAAACAATGCAAAACTAGCACGACGCCACACAATTATTTACATATTCCAATAACATAACCTCATTACTGATCTGAGGCTGGAAATCTGTTGGGTTGGTACTTCCGAACTTCACGAAGAAATTGACGAAAATTAGAACATGCTCTAATTCGTCAAGAACTTGATGAATAAATTCATGAAGTTATTTGACAGCAGATTTGGTGCATTACACTTGTCCAGTCTCTTGATGAAGCGTCTTCATGAATTAATTGATCAATAAATTGTCAATGTAAAACAGCTATTAATTACACTTGTCCAATTTCTTGATGAAGCGACTTCATGAATTAATTCATCAATAAATTATCAATATAAAACAGCTATAACAGATGCTTTCACATCGATATTAGCCTTCCCTTGTTGTTACTTAAGTACAGATAAATATTGTATGAATTTTCTTTTTTTTTACCATAAGAAATTGTCAAGGAGACTATTTACATCTAAATAAATATGATACAAAAAGACTGCTGTGTATCATTCTAAATTAGTGGTGGCAGTTTTTCCTCGAATTTTTCTATGAAAGTAGGTGTGCGATTAAAAACTTATTTTTAGCAAAGCGTTCCAGCATGTGGGCGGTGATGGCCCATTTCTTGGATTAATGATTTTTGAAATTCTTCCTTATTTCATCACATCAGGATCATGTTCTGTTTCTATATTAGTTTCCTTACTCGTAGGCTTTAAAAAAATTAAATTTAACTCTGATATGGTTTATTGCAATGTTTATTGTTGCTAGATTTTCTGTATTAGTAACACAATAAAATTAATTAGGTAGGTTTCTGTTTATTTCTGTACTAGATCTATTGTAGGGTACCTATATATACAGAATTGTCAACGTCTGTAGTGAAAAAACCTCGGAATAAACAAATTCATAGAAACAAATACTTAGGTATATTTGAATTAAAAAAAAAGTTTTTGGTCCAAATAAGTCACTGAGTATAAATATATAAATAATGTATTTATTTTATTTGACATATACAGTTTCTTAAAAAGTCAAGTAATTTAGTTGATTTATCAAATAAATTAACTTGTAAATTACCTTTTACTTGCACCAAATTTGATGTTTAAATTCAGAATTTAAATTAGTTGTATTTTATTTCAAATAAATATTCATGTTGCAAATAATTTGGTTTAAATAAAATGCAAATTATGAACAATTTTAAAGCTTTTTAGAGACAAATATACTTACTTGAATTAATTTTTGATAATATTAAGTAATTAAATTTGAGCTGTTCATTCAAATTTATTTTGAGCTTTATTAAAAGTAAAATAAATTCAGAGGTAAATGAATATTTTCAAATGATTCGATTTCTTAAAATCGAGGATTTCATTTCACTGTTTTTATAAGGTTGGTCAACTTTATTTGTGTTGTAGTTGGACTAAAATTAAGAGCAAAGCGTGGACCTAGGTTGGATATTTCTTGTGCAACTGTCTAAACTACAAAGAATTAATAAGATTTCTGACACCAAAGATTTACTAATGCTAACATATTATATTCCTAGTATTTTCAAAATATTTCAACCGTAAAATCGAAACATAGGTTTATATCTACATTCTTAAACCTAAATCAGATTGGAATACCTACGCTATTATATACCGAGTTTTATATCACCATTGGATAGAGTTATTATAAAAAAAAACGTTCCAATAGCCCATAACAATATCCTCAGCACGAGTCTTTGAAAATATGAGAGTCATAATTAACCTACCACCCTAATAATATCTGTAACACGAGTCCTTTATGTTCACCGAATCACCTTTTGTGCCATGGGCGACCGCAAAATTGTTTTTTAGGGGGCTGCTTTGCCACTATATCGGTGAGGTTTCTTTTTCAGGAAGTCAAATGGGTTGTTGAAGACTTACAAAAATATGTAATTTAAGTATTTTTATGTATCGTTCTGTTCCAGATTGTGTAAATATATTTATCAATATCAAGTAGCGCGTGGTTGAAATATAAATAATATTGAGATATTTTATAGATATTATGTTAATGTCTCTGACGCTGTATCCATATTAAGTAATTAATATAATTTGCACAAAATAATTTGATTGTAGTAGGTTAGGTACACAAAAATTGCGCATGCTTTGCCCGATGCTTTGCCTATTATCGTCTAATCCATGCTTTTTAAATTAAAAAAATATATGTACGAATATCCGTAATACCAATTTTATAGTGAATTTCAAAAGCGATCAAAATTTGTAGTACAATATTTACTTCTGCAGTTAATTACCAAAGTATTACTGAAATAAGTAATAAAAAAAACCGGGCAGATGGCAGTATTTAATGAAAATTAAAAAAAGTGATACTTAAAGCCAAACTGGTTCATTTTTTGTGTAAAATGGAGGACATCCTTTTTCTTAGAAACACCACAATTTGTTTCAGGTAGTGATCGAATTCCAAAAATATCCAGCGGCATCAATTTTCTGGGGTTTCCACTGGCACAAGCATTTAGTGGATTTTTATCTTTAATTAGACAAATTATTACTTAGTCTAAGTTTCATCAATCAAACCTCTTCAGAGATATTTTAGAATAAGCGAAATTTCAATATCTCGAAAATCATGGATTTGCTGATTCAATTGATATCATCTTTTTGGTTTAAAATCACTCAAAGAATCACCCCTTAAAGTTAGTGCAAATACTTATTTAACACCCTGTATAATATATTGTTTAACTCGTTAGCAGCAATTGAATTAACTCACGTACTTAGTGGGCTGACTTACTTAGGGTTTTCAAAGTGTCGATCAGATTACGTCCTCCCTCACCCTCCTTACTCGCCAGACTGGGCTCCTAGCGATTTTTTTTCTTATTTCCGAAATTAAAGTCAGTGCTGAAAGGTCGCCTTTTTTAGATAATTGATGATATTAAAGCAGTCATCACATACGTTAAAAGCCATTTCAAATGAAGCTATCCAAGAATGCTTTGCGAAATGGCTTCCACTGGAAAATGTTTGTGAATAGGAGAACAAAATACTTTGAAGGAGATGAGGACCAATAATTATAAAATTAATAATAAAGTTTAAAAAAATATACTTCGGTTATTTTCTGAACAGACCTCGTATAGTAGAGTAAATTACAGAAGCAGTAAGTAGTAAGGTTTGAGTAATACCGAGTAATTCAAATTTAAGACATTTATCTAAGGAATCTTCTTTGTTTTTTACAATTTTTTAACCGGTTTTCAAGTTACTTATGCCTGCAGATAATTAAAATAATCTCACCGTGGTGTAAAGTAAACTATGCTGTCAACGACACTTGACGTAAAATAAAAAACATGTTCATTAAAACTGATACGTGAGGCGTAAACTTCTCCCCAAGAAATAATTCGCCCTGCACGCCACTGATCCTTCTTCAACCCCATCTTTTTTAAGTGTTCTTCTCCCCAGCTCACATCTGTCGGCTCGATGGCGTTTCTTTTTTATTATCATTTTCTATATTGGACACGGACCTTTGCCAAATAAATTAAGTTTGTAATAATAATTCTTTCGTAGTCGGGTAGAGTTTGGGCCCCTGTCGTGTATTTTTGTTAGTACGTTATATATCTAGTACATTTATTACCCATTGGTTTTTGTGGTAGTGAAAAATGCATTGGTTTTTAGCATGTGAAGTTTCGATGGATATTATCAAGTCAGTATGTAGGTATCTGAATGGGCATATATCCCTACAGGGTGTTTTAGAAGAATATACCACAAATTTAGAGACTAGTCACATACAAAATTTTTTTTTTCTACAGACCATGGGCCCAATGTTTTTTGTTTTTGGATACAGTGCTTCGAATGTAATTTTTTAAATCAGATTTTATCTTTTCCGAAATGTTTTTAAATTTGG